ACTGGAAGGGACTTCAGTAGGTCATCTAGTCCGGCCCCCTGCATTCAAGGCAGGACTAAGTAATAAACCATTCCTGATAGGTGTTTGTCTAACTTGTTCTTAAAAACCTCCAATGATGGAGATTTCACAGCCTCCCTAGGCAATTTGTTCCAGTGCTTAGCTAACCTGACAGGAAGTTTTTCCTAATGTCCAGCCTAAACCTTCCTTGCTGCAATTTAAGCCCCTTGCTTCTTTTCCTATCCTCAGAGGTTAAAGAGAACATTTTTTCTCCCTCCTCCTCGTAACAACCTTTTATATAGTTGAAAACTTATGTCCTCCCTCAGCCTCCTTCAGACTAAACAAACCCATTTTTTTCCCAATCTTTCCTCATAGGTCATGTTTTCTAGACCTTTAAGCATTTTTGTTGCTCTTCTCTGGACTTTATACAATTTGTCCACATTTTTCCTGAAATGTGGCACCCAGAATTGGACACAATACTCCAGTGGAGGCCTTACCAGCACAGAGTAGAGTGGACAAACTTCTTCTCATGTCTTGCTTACAACACTCCTGCTGATATATCCCACAATGATGTTCGCTTTTGGGTGTGGAAGGACAGTGTTACACTGTTTACTTATATTTAGCTTGTGATCCACTATAACTCCCAGATCCCTTTCTGCAGTACTCCTTCCTGGGCAGTCATTTTCCATTTTGTATGTGTGTAACTGACTGTTCTTTCCTAAATGGAGTATGTTGCATTTGTCCTTAGTGAATTTCATCCTATTTATTTCAGACCATTTCCCCAATTTGTCCAGATCATTTTAAATTTTAATCTTATCCTCCAAAGCACTTGCAACCCCTTCCAATTTGGTATCATCCACAAATTTTATAATTGTACTCTTTATGTCATTATCTAAATCATTTATGAAGATATTAAACAGAACCAGTCTCAGGACCAATCCCTGAAGGACCCTTCTTGATAGGTTCTTCCACTTGCCTGTGAACCACTGATAACTACCCTCTGGGAACTGTTTTCTAACCAGTTATGCCACCCACCTTATAGTAGCTCCATCTAGGCTAGTTTATTTATGAGAAGGTCATGTGAGACAGTATCAAAAGCCTTACTAAAGTCAACATATATAGCACATCTACTGCTTTCCCCCATTCACAAGGCTGTTACCCAGTCAAAGAAAGCTATTTGATTGATTTTACATGATTTATTCTTGATAAATCCATGTTGACTATTACTTATCACCTTATTATCTTCTAGGTGTTTACAAATTAACTGCTTGATTATTTACTCCATTATCTTTCTGGGTACTGAAGTTAAACTGACTGGTCTGTAATTCCCTTGGTTGTCCTTATTCCCCTTTTTATAGATGGGCAATATTTGCCCTCTTCCAGTCCTCTGCCTTTAATTCCTGTCATTAGGGTTCCAAGCTTCTGTATAATTGTCAATATTTCTTTGAAAAAAATTAATAATTGAGATATTTCTATGGAAATGACCTTACTTACACACTTTTTATGCTGCATGACAAAATGCAAAGTTTTCTTCTGATGTTTGCTTCAGAGGGTCTCAGTATTTTCCATTCCATGACCACACAACACAAAACACACCTTTGTGACACTCCCATATTCCCCATCTAGACGTAAAGAAAGAGGAAGAGTATCACAATCCGCAGGTTGGGAACCCCAAAGACTATTTGGATTTCTAAGGTTTTTCTTTCCCTTCTTCAGAGACCTGGTGGTGTTTTAGTGGACTCTGATGTGGTTTATACTGGGGTTTTGTAAAGTCAAACCCCTGTAACTCTTGTTTGGTTTTCTTTGATTAATAATTAAGTGATTGTAATTTTGGTTAAAGTAGTAATAAAAATCATTGATAAAGAATATGGGATAAGTATGAAGCCTAAGACCCAATGAGCCTTTGCTTTAGCTGACCACAGAAGCAGCTATTTTCTCCTGGTCCAGGTACTGAGAGTTTTTTATGGGATATTTTTGACTCTTATTATATTCCTGTTCTTGGAATGAAATGATTTTAGTTCACAGGCCAACAAAAAATATGTAACAGCAGTTATTGCAGGCAGTATCTCCTTCCACTCTGCTCGTTGCCAAAACAAACCACTAGATATCTCTTCACATCTGAGACAAGTGATACCTTTGGATTCGCTCCTGTTGCCATTAGAGTCAGAGAGATTTGCATTGACTTATACAACCGTAGGATCAGCCACAATCAGGGACTGGTAGGAGTACAAATATCCCCCCTCAGCCGCCTTCCAAGATACTAGGTGAGATACTAGGTTAGAAAGCTAAATTACGATACAGGAGTTCATTAATGCAGAAGTAGTAATGGGCAATTTCAGATGTTTTATTTAACAAACATCTGTTTATAATGGACATTAAAATTTTTTTTCAACGCATCATTCAAATATTTTATTAGTCATATTCAATTTAGTCTGCATCCAGTACATCATGCAGATAAGATGCCCACATTATACGATAATAAAATAGACCACCTGAAATTGCTTCTATTCTGAAGAACTATCTTGATAGTATGTTTGTCTATTCATTTGTGGGGTTTTTGGAGTGAATGCAGACAGAAAAGCAATAATGGCTTCTACTGGACCAGATCCTAAAAAATGAGATGAACTAAGTATATTTACTTTTTCAGAACACATCAGAAATGTTTTATTTTTCCATATTTACTTCAAATTATTTTTCTCACTTGTTTATATTTTTAAAATGTTGTTATTTGTATTACAGTAGTGCATAGAGGCCTCAACAGAGGGGAGGGCCTGGTGCTCGGTGTGCTACAGATGCTTAGCAAAAGCCAATCCCTGCCTGAAGCCCCTACAATCTAAATAGATAAGACAATCCCCATGTTACAGATAGGGAAGTGAGGCACAAAGATTAAGTGACTTGCCCACGATCACGCAGGAAGCCAGTGGCAGAGCCAGACATTCAATCCAGACCACCAGAGTTCCAGTACTGAGATCTCTTAGTCAAGGAGCAAGGTGGCCAGTTAACTTTTTTCAATAACTGTTTCTATGGGGGGAAAGTAAATAGCAAAGGCAAAGATGAGTTAATTATTGGGTCTGTTTATGTTCTCTTTCTGGTCTCATTGAAATCTGTAGAAACCTCCAGGACAAACACAGCCTCTTCTGTGTCTAAAAAGAGAGAAACTCTACAAACAAAACTGCTGAGTGAAACTTGGTGAATGCCCTGGAACTGGCATGAAACCAGAAGTTTTCCTCACTACCGGACATTGAGGTCCTTCTCAACTTCTATCTGCCTTATATGAGAAGCATCTGCTTGACAGACATATAAAGAGTGTGTGGTGTGTTTGTGTGTGCTGTGACTAGCTTATTCGGTCAGACTGGTTAATTTAAAATAGCTGAAACCCCATGCAGTTTACTCAGCTGTTTCTCCTGTTGTTGCTGTCCATGGTGTTGATCTGAAAGCCAGAATGCATGTATTTAAGAGCTCAATGTCTCCAAGCTGCCCACAGATAACAAAAACAATCTAGTCTAAATATTATAATAACTCCCAGTGTAACCTTATAAGATAATCTATGTGCTAGGTACACACATTACTATAGATAGCAAAATAATGCAGCTGGAATTTTATTTGTGTTAGTGATGTCAGAGTTCCTAGAGCCATAGATCAGTGTCTTTAAAAAGTTTAAATCTCAATAAATAAAGATATACCAGTAGGTGTGTGGCATTTTATACAAATATTTATTATTAATAATAATAATGGACTGGTGCTAAAAGAATGACCAAGATGCCCAACTTGAAAAATGACAGTTTAGTGCAACTGCTGAAACTAAAATGTTCTTTAAACTGTAAGGAGAAAAATATATGAGAACTACGATCAAATGTCATAGCAGTTTTGAATTGATATTATTGAATAAGAACAAGTTAAAGAGTGTAGTCCTTGTTAGAATCTTTGTCTAGAATACCTTGGAATCATCCACTCTAGTATCCCCAGATGCAATCTGTAAATGAACGCCGATAACATCAGGATATCAGGTTAATATTTTCATTAAGGTGCTAAGATTTTGCATCTTGAAATAGACCTCACCTTGCTATCTTCCAGCACCAGGAAATTGCACCATATCTAGCTTATCTTGGAGATCCTTGTGCCAGATAGAATTATCTGAAAAACAAATGTATAAAAGTAACATTTTATTAAGCTTCCACCATCCCTGCAGGAAATTTCTTATTTTGCCATCCACAAATTTTCAGTGATGTGGCTGGATGAGGAGGGAGGGCACTGTGTGCTGCAAAATTTAGTAGCAACAGGCCTTAAGAGTATCAATGATGAGATTCTCAAGGGTCTTTGTCATGGATGGAAATGGAATCATTACTGCAATACCACTAACGTCATTGGCACCCACCCACAGTCAGTCCACTAGCAATATAAGTGGAGAGATCAGTCTGTTTTGCAGATTATAGACAGGCTAGTCAGGAAGGGGCAAGCCAGAGCCAAACTTACAGGTAAGCTTTATTTAAGGAGAGAGTGAGAGTAAGTGTTTGGGTATTTTTATGTTGCATCAAGTTGTAAAATGTACTATATTATTAATTTATTATTTCATATATTTCATATATTTAGTTTTTCTCAAGCAGTTTTAAAATTGGGCTATCTGCATTTTTAATTATATTGCTATATTTTCCTCAGGGCACACAAAGATCTGCTGCTGTAACAACATGGTTAGCTATTTTAGAACTATTATATGATGGAAATAGAGAGGGGACCAGTGTCACAGAGGTAGCAATGGAATGGGAAGCATTTCTTTAGGACTAATCTGTTTCTCAAGATACACTGAAGGTGGGGGGGGGGGGAGAGGGAGAAAAACCACACACACACTAATATATATTCTCCAGTAGGTAGATCCTCCTTGTCATGGACTGATTGTTTTAAACCATTTATCCACATTAATTATATGAAATGCTTGCTTTCATGTGTCAGTGGTGCATGTTTTATAGAACTCATGCAGTCTGATTCTTTCCCCCTCTCATGTGCAGTCTGCTCATCTCTCCAGCATGTGGAAAGTGGCACTTCTGGTTCTGTGCACTACGCTTACTCTGAGGGGGTTGGCAAAGGGGGCTCCGCTGAGGCCAGAAGAAAAATGGAAACCTCTGAACAATCCCAGAAACCGAGATCTGGTAAGGAAACCCTACAGGAAACACTGTAATGAAGCCCAAACTTTGTGTGTGTTTCACATATTTAGGTGTCTCATTATAAGAATTTCTTACCTTTTGTAGTTAAAAACTTCAAAGTGAAAAGGGAACCTCTTAGCTAGTGTTAGTAACTCTGCTGTGCTCTGTATGGTCAGTGTCAGCAGCCACCTGCACATGCTTTAATCTAACTTGAAGAAACTTTCAATTTCAAATACTGTACATAGGTATGAGGAAGATCCATGTGCAGTACACATTAATTTTAAAAGAGATGTATTTTGATCTATGAAAATAGAACTTGCTTTATCCAACAGAATAGGGGTGCTCTGTGTGTTCTCCTAGTCCTGTTCTTGTTGACTGTATAGATAATATTGCTTAAGTCAAATGCTAAACCATGGTTTGAAAACACAAATATATTCACATCTGACACAGCACCTTGAATGCTTTAAGATATGACAGCCAATTAACAATAATGGAGAATATTCGATTACAAAGGATTATTTATAAGGTCTTATGCAAAAGTTGTGAGAAACATGTCAGTGATTAGCAGCAATGGTTGTACTTGTTTGGAAGGTGACCAAATATAAATTAAAAAAACCCACTAACTAAAACCTAGTATTTTTTAAATATAATGAAGACTATCCAGCCAAAGGATCAGCTCAAACCAGTTGCAGGTGACTTTTAGGATAAATAAAATTGTACTGGAAAACCTGAGGCTACTCTGGCTGTTGCTAGAGGCTGTTCTTAATGCAGGTTTCACTGTGTGTCTTTTCTAAAGAAAATGTTAGCAAATTGGGCAGCATAATACTCTAATCACATTTCTTATAAAGATCTTAGAGGCTTTACATAAACTATACTCTTGTATATTTGGAACACATATCAGTTTGAGGGACTTCCAGATATTGTAGGCTGTTTAATAAGCTTCACAGTTAAGGTGTACTTCACAGTTAAGGTGTACCCTAAAGCCTAGGGATCTGAAGAAATAATTTCAGACCTTTGAAACAGTCTGATTCAATCTTCCTAATTTATGCCACCTGTTATAAAAGCTAACAAATACCTTTTACTAATATTCTCGGTGTCAGAAATATACACACTGTGGGTACTGGCAGTTGGGAGAGGTTTTCTCCTCTAGGTTACAAGTTTGCATCAGTACAGCTCAGCTGAGACCTCAGCTGAGATGGGTTGGTGGTCTTTGGACAGGTGTCCATATCACAAGGCCAGATTCTGACACTCTTCTTCACGATGAGAAGTACCTTACTCCACATGCAATCCCATTAACGTCAGTGTCAGAATCTGGCAACAAGTGCTGGGTCTGTGTGGCCAGTGCCATCACAGGGGCTAATGACTGACTGTACTTGGCAAACGAATGTGACTAACTCACTGCAAGGTGTCATCATTCCAGGTCATACTTGAAACACAATGTGAAAGCCGAGTGGAGCAGCTTGCTCTGCCATTGTCTATGCTGTACATGTTTGTGGATAAAATAGAGGACTTCATTCCCATCCAGTTCCTTTCACAAGTAGTGTATTTACTTTGTTTTAATGAATATGATTATTCATTTTACATTTTTGAAATGTAAACTGTCTTCAGTTTTTCAGGACACTCCAGGCTTATTTTTCGGGAAGAGGTCTTGATCTGAGAAAGTTCCTAGATACTTTCTCCATGAATAATGACAGACCCAGGCCTGTAGCGATCTACTCGGATCCTACTGCTTCTGCATTTGCAGATTATGAAGAAAAGAAAAAAATATTTCAAAACTACTTCAAAGGCTGAAAGAAGCTGCTGACCAAGGTAAAAGTGATTGTTTTTCCTCTGTGCTGACAGTTACATGTGGTTGAGTTACAGATTTGGATTCGGGTAATTTTCCCTTCTATATGAAGAAAAAAAATAACTTGCTCTTGATAACACATCAGAAACATGTAGTATTTTAACTCTCACTCAAAGCCGATTGAAATTTATTTAAGGAGAAATTTCTGAAGAGTTAATTTCTTTCTGGAATAACAGGAGTATATGCATGGTAAGAAGTATTCTGAAGTCAGAAGCGTATGCACTGCTTATGTCTCTAATTTATTTCCAGAGACAAATACTTGACCTTTGCTGGATTAAACAGGAAAAGATTTCAAGAGATCAAGTAAAACCTATTACAACCTAAATTTTTCAAGTGGAGGCTGTTGATAGCCTCCCATGATATGTCCGCATCAAGGAAAAAACAGACTCAAAAAAGAAAACATTACAGTAACAAAGAGTAATCCGCCTTTTAAATCTCTGTAAATGTAATGTGATTTTCATATTTCTTCAATTAAAAGTGAAGGTTGGATAAAATAGTGTGCAAACTGATTCGTATGTCTATAATGTAAAATAAAATGAATCAAGCTTGCACTATTAGTATATCCATGGCCAAATGTACTGCAGGGAACTTGGTTATTTATTTTTTATTTTGTATACTATATAAACAGCAATCCTCCTTATGACACCATGATGAGGGTAGCTAAGTATTATTTCCCCCTTTCTACAAACAGTAAGAACTTCAATAAGATTTGGATCAGGTCCCAAGTGACTTGTCCAAGGACCTACAAGGAGTCAGTGGCAGTCAAGATTAAAACTCAGGAGTTCCTGGCTTCCAGTCCTGTGCTTAGCTCACTAGTCCATGGCTCTGTCTGAACTATGTAGCACACCACCACCATTCATTATATTATAGTGACAATTGTATTAATATTTTCATTTTAAGTCACCTTTTGATGGGTTTAATTTGAAAAAAAACCCAGCATCACACAAACAATGTCAAATGGATTTAAAAGTGGTTTTAAAAGATATGCTCCGCCTCAATAAGAATTTATTAGTTTGGTGAAGGAATTACGGAATAAAAATCTATGGCTTGTGTAATGCAGGAAGACAGACTAAATAATCTTGGTGCTCCCTTCTGGCTTTAAAATTGCGAAGCTATGAAAATTATAAACTTAAAAAAATTCAAATGTGATTTAAATGACCCTTTGGAGTGTTTTTAGTAATAAATAGTGGGTAAGAGATGATTTCTCAATAAAAATTTCTGTCTGTTCATAAATGAAAATATTTGCTTTGAGTGTTCTTACAAAATGGTTTATATTTACTGTGAAATTACTAAATTACTGGGCACTTGTGTTTTGCTGCATTAGCCACACAGAGGATAACTCAAGGTCTGGGGCCTAAGGAACATAAAACAACACTGATGTTTGACACAAACTGATGAAGACCTAGAAACACAGAATTAATTGTGGTCCCCTACCTTTGATTTACTGTGTTGTCTAAATATTGCATCACAGAAGATCAGATTCTGGGCCCCCAAAATATCTGGGAATTCTGTTGTTAACTTGATGAAGATTTAGGGGCTGAAAGACTGGGCATTTTAAAAAAATATTTAAATTCTAACCATGGTTTGTGTTCAGTTAATTATTTCAACTTCCTAATCTCTCTACCCTATCAGTCTTGCAGCCACATGATGTGCTAAACACAGCAGAACTGTACATTTCCACTTTAGGTGGGGCAGGATTTGAAATCCAGTCCTCAAGCACCACAGAGCTGTACTCCACAAAGGTCTCTGTGCCATAATCATGCAGGGAGATGGGCAAGAAATTGTGTATATGTACGTATGCAGCCAGTGGCTGATCCTATGAAAGGTGAGAGGCCGGAACAAGCAGCCACAGTAGCTCCACTGCCATTCCACGGCCTTGAGAAATCTGTTCCTCACCCTGACGCTTACAGAGATTACTCCCAGTAGGAAAAGACAATAATTTACTGTTTAACAATGCTCACGCTAATAATTTGGGATTTATGAGCCCATCTAAGTCAGTGGGAGTGTTTCAGTTAGGGTCCTTTGGCTTTGGATCAGACCCCATGTGCTTTTAAATGCTCCTACTTACTATCCTTATTTTATTATTTATTTTTCCTTTCAGGTGGTTGCTTTTGGACTTCATGTGAATTGGAAGCATACACGGCAAAATGTTACTGCTTTGGGGTTTCTAACTTATCTGACAATTTAACATTTTCTTCAGCATCTGAGTCTTTACATACACAAATCTGACATCTGGCTGTAATTGCCATATTTGCTCACTTTTCAGGTGGTGAGGTATGTATGGTTGTGAAGATTGGTTTGACAAGATTTTACTTGTTGAAATGTAAATGAATGAAAAGTTCAATCTGATGTAGTTTGTCCGACTATTCCTAATTGTCTTTGTCAAGGAATGTAAATAAATGTTACCTTTTAAATTTATTACATCTAGGTTTTAGATAACTGTTTTCTTGAATGGAATTTATTGAGTCTTCATTATAGTGCTTTGTATTTGGTTTGGAGATGTGTGGAATTTAAAAAAAAAAACACTTCAGTCATTACAGAAACCCATCTCTTTGTTCTGTTTGTACAGCACCTACCGCAAAGGGGCCCTTGTTCCTGACTGGGGCTCCTCGGTGCTACCTCAATACAAATAATAATCTTTTTAAATAGTCATGAAAGAAAGATAGACTCATCAGATGTATACATCTGAGAGATATCCCAAGATCATCCTACTGAAAAAGGCAGAAGATAATACAAAAAGAGCCTCCATAAATGTGGAAAAAAGAAAAGCCCTATGATGTCCTAAGACATACATTATTAATGTCATATTCAAGGTCTCGTTCAGAAACACAATAGCCATCAGAGTACTTAAATGTTTTGGCTTTTATGTTTTGATAGGAATCTCATAGTAAAGAATCCCGATGACTCCCACAATTTAGTAATTAATAAATTATTTATAAGAGCCCATCTTACTATTTCTACTCTGATCATTCCTTATGTAGCTGAACCATTACAGATTTCCAGTACCATATTCTAAAATGGCATCAGGAAATCCTGCATTCAGATTACCACAGTTACTTCTCATTTGGAAGGTATGGCATTGATCCTGAGAAGACTTTTACACATGTGCTTAATACTCCACATGTGAGTAGTCCTATTGACTGAAGTTAAAGGATGAAATCCTGGCCCAATTAAAGTCAATGGCAAAAGTCCCCTTGACTTCAATAGGATCAGGATTTCACCCAACTTGAGCACATGGATGAGTCTTTGCAGAATCAGGGCCTAACCCCTTGTTTAATAATGGGTATGAAATATGGAGGTAATAGCTCCATTGCTGTTTCAGTATTGACACGGTCACTAGCTCTACCTGGTTTCAGAGGAACAGCCGTGTTAGTCTGTATTCGCAAAAAGAAAAGGAGTACTTGTGGCACCTTAGAGACTAACCAATTTATTTGAGCATGAGCTTTCGTGAGCTACAGCTCACTTCATCAGATGTATACCGTGGAAACTGCAGCAGACTTTATATACACACAGAGAATATGAAACAATACCTCCTCCCACCCCACTGTCCTGCTGGTAATAGCTTATCTAAAGTGATCAACAGGTGGGCCATTTCCAGCACAAATCCAGGTTTTCTCACCCTCCACCCCCCCACACAAATTCACTCTCCTGCTGGTGCTAGCCCATCCAAAGTGACAACTCTTTACATAATCAAGTCGGGCTATTTCCTGCATAGATCCAGGTTTTCTCACATCCCCCCCACCCCCATACACACACAAACTCACTCTCCTGCTGGTAATAGCTCATCTAAACTGACCACTCTCCAAGTTTAAATCCAAGTTAAACCAGAACATCTGGGGGGGGGGGGTAGGAAAAAACAAGAGGAAACAGGCTACCTTGCATAATGACTTAGCCACTCCCAGTCTCTATTTAAGCCTAAATTAATAGTATCCAATTTGCAAATGAATTCCAATTCAGCAGTTTCTCGCTGGAGTCTGGATTTGAAGTTTTTTTGTTTTAAGATAGCGACCTTCATGTCTGTGATTGCGTGACCAGAGAGATTGAAGTGTTCTCCGACTGGTTTATGAATGTTATAATTCTTGACATCTGATTTGTGTCCATTTATTCTTTTACGTAGAGACTGTCCAGTTTGACCAATGTACATGGCAGAGGGGCATTGCTGGCACATGATGGCATATATCACATTGGTGGATGTGCAGGTGAACGAGCCTCTGATAGTGTGGCTGATGTTATTAGGCCCTGTGATGGTGTCCCCTGAATAGATATGTGGGCACAATTGGCAACGGGCTTTGTTGCAAGGATAAGTTCCTGGGTTAGTGGTTCTGTTGTGTGGTATGTGGTTGTTGGTGAGTATTTGCTTCAGGTTGCGGGGCTGTCTGTAGGCAAGGACTGGCCTGTCTCCCAAGACTTGTGAGAGTGTTGGGTCATCCTTTAGGATAGGTTGTAGATCCTTAATAATGCATTGGAGGGGTTTTAGTTGGGGGCTGAAGGTGACCGCTAGTGGCGTTCTGTTATTTTCTTTGTTAGGCCTGTCCTGTAGTAGGTAACTTCTGGGAACTCTTCTGGCTCTATCAATCTGTTTCTTTACTTCTGCAGGTGGGTATTGTAGTTGTAAGAAAGCTTGACAGAGATCTTGTAGGTGTTTGTCTCTGTCTGAGGGGTTGGAGCAAATGCGGTTGTATCGCAGAGCTTGGCTGTAGACGATGGATCGTGTGGTGTGGTCAGGGTGAAAGCTGGAGGCATGCAGGTAGGAATAGCGGTCAGTAGGTTTCCGGTATAGGGTGGTGTTTATGTGGCCATTGTTTATTAGCACTGTAGTGTCCAGGAAGTGGATCTCTTGTGTGGACTGGACCAGGCTGAGGTTGGTGGTGGGATGGAAATTGTTGAAATCATGGTGGAATTCCTCAAGGGCTTCTTTTCCATGGGTCCAGATGATGAAGATGTCATCAATATAGCGCAAGTAGAGTAGGGGCTTTAGGGGACGAGAGCTGAGGAAGCGTTGTTCTAAATCAGCCATAAAAATGTTGGCATACTGTGGGGCCATGCGGGTACCCATAGCAGTGCCGCTGATCTGAAGGTATACATTGTCCCCAAATGTGAAATAGTTATGGGTAAGGACAAAGTCACAAAGTTCAGCCACCAGGTTAGCCGTGACATTATCGGGGATAGTGTTCTTGACGGCTTGTAGTCCACCTTTGTGTGGAATGTTGGTGTAGAGGGCTTCTACATCCATAGTAGCCAGGATGGTGTTATCAGGAAGATCACCGATGGATTGAAGTTTCCTCAGGAAGTCAGTGGTGTCTCGAAGGTAGCTGGGAGTGCTGGTAGCGTAGGGCCTGAGGAGGGAGTCTACATAGCCAGACAATCCTGCTGTCAGGGTGCCAATGCCTGAGATGATGGGGCGCCCAGGATTTCCAGGTTTATGGATCTTGGGTAGTAGATAGAATATCCCAGGTCGGGGTTCCAGGGGTGTGTCTGTGCGGATTTGATCTTGTGCTTTTTCAGGAAGTTTCTTGAGCAAATGCTGTAGTTGCTTTTGGTAACTCTCAGTGGGATCATAGGGTAATGGCTTGTAGAAACTCGTGTTGGAGAGCTGCCGAGCAGCCTCTTGTTCATATTCCGACCTATTCATGATGACAACAGCACCTCCTTTGTCAGCCTTTTTGATTATGATGTCAGAGTTGTTTCTGAGGCTGTGGACACTTGTAGAACCGGGACAAGAAGGCAGGCCACTGGCTTCAAAACACAGACATCTATCATCTAAATGAAACTCCTTTAGCTGTTAGTAGTTGAAGGGATTTTATTTTATAAACTAACTCAGGTAAGTAGTCTGGTCCCATCTAGTCCACCAAATGGAGACTTTTTTTTAAAAAAAGGAACAGGAGACGGAGTAGGATATTTAGAAATGCCTATAGAACTCGATGTAAATTAATACAAACTCAGAAGCTAGAATACATATCTGTAAGTGATTTCATCTTTGCCTGATAATACAATAATTGCTCTAGAAACATAATCACTGCCCTACTCCAAATGGGTCACAGAAATGGTTTCTCAATTTTTAAGAGTTCTGCTATTGTGTTTCCACTTGATGAAAAGAAAATTAACTACAGATATCTTTCCTCCAAGGAATCTATGTAATCAGTAAAACTTGAGTTATTAAATATACATCTAACTTTTTTATATTTCCATGTCAGCTGGCTGAAAAAAATTTAAGGGCCCATCCAACACTGCCTTTCATTTTCACTAGTACAAAGTGAGAGCAATGTGGGTGTAAACTGCTCCTATTCTAACTTGGTAGCATTTCATAATACTTAGTCCCGCCATGGGTCCAGGGGACTGGACGACCAGATGACCTCTCAAGGTCTCTTTCAGTCCTATAATTCTATGATTCATACTCACTTTGAACTGTGCTGCCCAAGAGTTGAATCTGACTTAATCCTGACCAAATCTAGGGTGCTTTCCCCATATAGATTTCCATAAATGTTTACATCCAATAGTATCTTCATAAATTAGGGAGTTAGACTTCTGTTCTTCCTGGATAGCTGCATCCATTTATTTGATCTATCTGTGCCCTTCTGATGCACCTGTTGCTGTATTTTATGTTCTTTTCATAGTCCTTCACTTCCTTTATCTGGTCAGGATTCAGTAACCTCTCTCTAACATGATCTTTCAACCACTTAAAACAGTGCAAGGAACAGGAGATACCCTTTCAGCTATCAATAAGTACCTCCTTGATGCAAAGATCACTGAAGTTAAAGGAAAGACTTCCATGGATTTTATTAGACTTTGGATGGGGCCCATACAGCGCACTGGGCTGGAAATACGGGTTTACTCCGAAAACGCTGGAGGGGCGGGGTAATGTTGGTGTTTGGGAAAGATGTTGGCTGAACTGAGCACAGGAAACGCTTATTTTCAGCTCAGGTGGGAGGCGATGGAGAGCAGTCCCTCTCCTCACCGGCCCTCCCGCACAGCCCCAGTCTGAAACCCGCCCAGCTGCGCCGAACGCCCGCAGCGTCGGCGCCAGTCGCAGCGGGGGCGGACACGCTCTCCCGCTTACACCGAGCTCTTCCTCAGGCCGGGCCCACGGGCTCAGCGCCGCCCTCAGGCGGCTGCTGCTGCTGCTGAGTGCGGAACGTCAGCCGGGGCGCTCCGGGGCCCCACCCGACCCCCTTCTACCATCGCCCCGCGGCCTCCGGCTCCCTCCCTCTGTGCCAAGGGGAGGCCAGCGGCTTCGCATCCTTACCGCGCATGCTCACGGCTCCGCCGGCGGGCGCTACCCGGGAACTCTTGCGCGGCGGAAGCGAGCTGCGGTCGGACCCGATTAACAAGGGACGCCGAGTCCGTGCGCGAAACAATCCTCCCCGCCCCCGCCCCCCCCGCCCCTTCCCTGGGTTCGCGGCAGGGCGCGCGATGTCGGGCTTCAGCCCCGAGCTGATCGATTACCTGGAGGGGAAAATCTCCTTCGAGGAGTTCGAGAGGCGCCGAGAGGAGCGCAAGAGCCGCGAGAGGAAGGTGAGGGACCCGGCCGCTCCCCTCAGGCGGCGGGTGGCGGCCGTTCCTTGGCCCGTTAGTGCCGCCCCCGCCAGGCCCCGGTGCCCCTTCGCCAGGAGGCTCCGCCCACGCTGCACCGTGGCCCGGCCCGGCCCGGCGCGTGTGCACACTGCGGGAACGAGGGGAGTTCAGGGTGCAGGGCAGCGGGGTGGGGGGATGGCCGGGGAGGGTGCAGGGCAATGGCCTGAGGGGGGGGGGGGGGGGAGGTGGCATGGCCTGGGGAGGGTGCAGGGCAATGGCCTGAGGGGAGGGGAGGGGGGAGGGGGAGGGGGGGGGATGGCCGGGGAGGGTGCAGGGCAATGGCCTGAGGGGGGGGGGGGGGGGGGAGGGGGGGGGGGGGGGGGGGGGGGGGCCGGGAGGGTGACAATGGCCTGAGGGGGGGGATGGCCGGGGAGGGTGCAGGGCAATGGCCTGAGGGGATGGCCGGGGAGGGTGAGGGCGTGGGGGGGGGGGGGGGGGGGGGGGGTGGCGGGGAGGGTGAGGGCAATGGCCTGAGGGGAGGGGGGATGGGGGGGGGGGGGGGGAGGGTGAGGGCAATGGCCTGAGGGGGGGGGGGATGGCCGGGAGGGTGAGGCAGGTGAGGGGGGGGGGGGGGGGGGGGGTGCAGGGCAAGGCCGGGGGGGGAGGGTGCAGGGCAATGGCCTGGGGGAGGCCGGGGAGGGTGCAGGGCAGGGGGCAATGGCCTGAGGGGATGGCCGGGGAGGGTGCAGGGCAATGGCCTGAGGGGAGGGGGGGGATGGCCGGGGAGGGTGCAGGGCAATGGCCTGAGGGGAGGGGGGGATGGCCGGGGAGGGTGCAGGGCAATGGCCTGAGGGGAGGGGGGGTGCAGGGCAATGGCCTGAGGGGAGGGGGGGGGATGGCCGGGGAGGGTGCAGGGCAATGGCCTGGCCGGGGAGGGTGCAGGGCAATGGCCTGAGGGGCGGGGGGATGGCCGGGGAGGGTGCAGGGCAATGGCCTGAGGGGGGGGGGGGATGGCCGGGGAGGGTGCAGGGCAATGGCCTGGGGGGATGAGGCAGGGGAGAGTCCGCTGCACTCCCAGCAGCAGATAGGGCACAGATAGGGGATGCCCAGCAGGGTATAAAAAGCAATGTAGACAGTGAAACAGCTTAGGCGAATAGAGTGCCTTATGTTCCTAAGTCCCCTGGGTGTTTAGCTTACACACATTACTACATGCTCAAGCAGTGCCTATCACATCTACACTGCTGTTTTTGGCAGTGTTGTGTCCCTGCTGCCAGAGCGTTTCCATGCCAGACTGACAGTTCCCAGCTGTGGAGAAAGGCGCTGTCAGTGGGAAACTGTTGGAGCCTTCCCCCAATGCCAGCGCCTTTCCCCATTACTGTACCTCCCTGCTGTCAGAGCCTTTCACGTTGGTGTGTAGATATGTGCTGTAGTGACAAGTGTGGGCGTAGCCTGACTTCTGCCGTGGCATGTAGCTATGCATGTAGTGCCTGTGCTCTATGTGCCAGCATAAGTGTGGACATTGTTAATCCATGAAATATTTTGTTCACTTTCAACTTAATTTATGATAATGAGATACATGTGAGAAATTACTGTTATTTGATACTGGTAAGATATGACTCTTGTACATTGCCATGTTTCTGGAAAGACAAGGGAAATTCTTGGTGAGTGGAGCCCAACACCATAAGGAAGGGCAGTTCCTTTTGCAGAGTGGGTAGGCGTCTGGCTCTGAAGAGAATCTTGGTCTCCCTGGCAAGAATGCTGGTTCCCACACTGCAAAGTCGGGAGGGGGTTAAAATTGGAGAAAATGAGAATTATACTCCAGGTTCCCTCGGGGACATGAAGGCCAAGCATTTTTCATTCCCATAATGGGATAAATATAATTTTGTACGCATACAAAGGTTTTGTTTTGATTCATTATTCATGGCTGTAGCTTTTAAGGTGTTTCTAGATTTGCTAGCAGGAGTTGTTTTATTTTATAAACATGCTATTTTTGTAGACTAAAAACTGTCCCTCTTACTTTATAGGCAATTTTTGTTTAGTTAATGAAAAGAAACTTAGATTATGTTGGAAATTTGGAACATCTGATCTTTTCTATTTCTTTATGTATTTTCATGATACAAGAAGCAACGCCTTCAAACATTATTGAAGTGCTCTTTTCATTTCTTCATTTATTTGTGTATTTTCCACTATATCCCAACTACAGTAAATAGGAGAGCCATTGCTGTGGGCCACTGAAATTGCTGTTCCACACAAAAATACTTTGTTCCCCCAGAGGAGGCCTTACTGGTTAGGAGAGCATTTTAATCCAAATTTCTCACAGGTATAACAGATTGTTTCAAGAAACTATTAATTGTAACATCTAACTATGTAGGGGTTTCAGCATTGCATTTAATTTTAGACAAAGGAGGCAAGCTTTTAAAAGCATTCATGATGTTTGTTTACAATTTTGTTCACTTGGATAGTCACACCTCATTTTTTTGTGAGATGTTGGGAACCGTATAATCTTATTCCAGTGTACTTCGATACAAGCAGTATTCTTCAAGAGACTTCAGTCAAAACTAATGTAGGACAACAGTGAACAGTCAGAATATTGAGTTCACTTTACACTGGTGCGAACAGAAGTTTCTTATAATCAATGTTGGTGCCTGTTTTAATGGAATAATATAGCATCTGTTCCATCAGCAATGCAAAAAGCCAGAAACCCATAGTCTAAATGCCAGTAATTATAAATACAGGTGGAACAGTAAAATTAAATTAGTAGTTGTACTGCAAACCTTGTAGCTAATTTTGATGTCTGTAGGATGGAGAAAGTGTACCTACTGAGGAAAATACATATGACCCAGATGCTCCATCTACATCTGGAAAAGGATCTGGTAAATCCCAGAGTTGCAATGAAACAGAAGGTACGTGTCAGTATGGTGGCTTAACTGTAGAAATGTAAAAATCACAGTATTTTGTTGCTGAAACCATGTGTTCTTTGATAGGTAACTGTCAAGGCTGATTCCCCACTCTGGCACTTTTAGTGCAGAAGGTCGGGGCCCGCAAGGATTCTAAAAATTACTACTGGCCACTCCAGGCTTGTATTAAACTCCCAAGGTTACAGCTTCTCTCTGACCTTGGATGGGTAGATGCTGCCACTACCCAAATGCAAAACTCCCTTTTTACTCAGGAAGGCGCACTTGGGAATTCCTCCGTGTGGGGTACTCTCAAGCCCTTTCATGCCCCCCTCTGGGGAAGAGCTGAGAAAGAAAACAAAGGAAATCAGCTGTTTCCACCAGCTAATTAAACATGTGCACAAACCTGTTAGGACACAAAAAAACGCAATCTTGTTCTTAAAAAGAGTAAATTTTATTAAAAACAAAAAGAAAGAAAATACATCTGGAACTTAGGCTATTGCTAGATTTAAAAAAAGCAAATATAATAAGTATCAAGAATGGTTTTCTTGAGATCCAGCTTAAAGGTTACAAGCAAAACAAAAGCATCTGGGGTTAGCACAGAGGAGTCCACAAACCCATAAGAAAAAAAGAGGTAAACCTAATCGTATCTTTCTAGACATTTTCTGATCTACTTACATATCTGGCGTTTCAAATTGAGTAGTTTTAGGTATGATCTGTGATTTCCATACCTGGTTCACAGCTTTTTACAGCATAGCTTCAGCCCTGTTTTGCTCTGTCCCCTCTCTCCTGAGAACAACAGACAGCCAAAAGGGAAGTCTTGTTTCAATTTTAAAAAGTTCTCGCCTTCCCATTGGCCCTTTTGGCCAGGTGCCCACTCACTTCCCTTTACCTATGCATGCAGTCAGACTTTTTAACCCTTTACAGGTAAAGCAAGTAGAGAACAGCTATTAACAGGGATTTTACAGCTAACTGGCTGGCTGGGTGTCCATAAAATGTAGCTCCCCCCACCCCTTTCATTTATCACAGTGACTTTTAAAAACAGTTTACAGTTTGCACAATTAGAGAATGTAAGTATGAAATGGTTGTTCTCCATCATATCCAGGCTTGCCATTGCACCGGTGGGTGCCCTGTATCTCCAAGAGGCAGGCTCAGTCAATCATGGGGAGGAATTGGGAGAATTATGGGGGTATCAGCAACAACAATTGCAATTCCATCTGCACGACCAGCAGTATTTTAGACCTGCCTTAAACACCAACACACACTGATTCATCAGGATGTGTTATAAATCTGTTCTGATTCTCTTCAACCAGGAGAAACGACAGATGGGGTCAGTAAATCCGTCCATCGGGTCTTCGCTTCCATGCTTGGGGAAAATGAAGATGAGGAGGAGGAAGAAGAGGAAGAGGAGGAGGAAGATGAAGAAACCCCTGAGCAACCCACAGCAGGAGATGTTTTTGTATTGGAGATGGTGCTTAATCGAGAGACCAAAAAAATGATGAAAGCAAGTATTTGCATTTTAAAATTTTCATGTAGTCTGCATGATACCACTGAAGCACAGTGAATAAATGTTGTCTGTAGCATCATTTTAGAGACATGATGCTAATATTTGAAAACTTAACTAAAAATGTTATACATGATGTCTCCTGATCCCTTTTAACTGTTTGATTTGTTTACATGTCTGTATATTTTAAAAGATTCCTGCTGGTCCCTGAGTCAGTTTGTTGACTGCGCTTTATATAAGCTTCCTTTGGCTGTCATTGAGATCTGTCATGCTTGGGTTTTGAGCTCCATGTGCACTTACCATCCTCAGGTTTTGGTTTAACTGAACTGTTTTTGTTGCAGTAAGATTTCACCTAAGTCACAAATTCAGCTGAAGAGTCCTCCTCTTTTATCCCGGCTTGGGGCTGCTCATATAAGGGCACTTGGTTAAAGAATAGGGGAGTAATTTTTAGTTTTTCTATAATTAGATTTTAAACTTTTATAAATGGATGTGGGATTACACGGCAAGCTACCAAAATTAGTTCTGACAGTTTTATTAGTTGTAGTTCAGTGCTACTGAAACAAATTTTAAATAGTTTATATTTGTTTAACAAAAATTACAGATGTGATTGATTCCTCTTGAATTTGGGCATAATAGAATAGGGCTGGCATTTGAGCAGTCCAAAAATAATTGGACAATTGACCAGTCAAATATTGTCAAGTAAAGCCAAAAATGGTCAAATATTTTAGAGCACTAATTTATTAGAATAGTTACAAAAAAAGAGTAAGGCTTTAGAATCTTAAGTGGGCTTACCCTTAGATGCTTATGCCTAATTACAACCAAGTTACTTAACTGACTTATTTTAACTCCGGAAAATGCAAAACACAATGAAATGTGGTAATAATAAAAGAGAGAGTGACACCATGATGTAATCTAAAAGGTAGGCCACCGCCTACATCAGGGCATTCTTGCTAGAGTATTTGACAATGTTTGACCCTGGTGAAATAATAAGCAGTCAATTTGATATTGTTTGACTGGTCAGCTGATCAGCTTGCCAAACCTATTATGGTATATTTATATTTGTTTCTGTTATAATCTTTCAATTTAGGAGAAAAGGCCTCGCAGTAAACTTCCTCGAGCCCTGAGAGGACTCATGGGAGAAGCCAACATTAGGTTTGCTCGAGGGGAACATGAGGAAGCTATACTGATGTGCATGGAAATCATAAGACAAGGTACTTCAATATTTCATGGGAGTGTGTGAGACTTAAATCTTATTCCTTTTGATGGCTGGTATATTAATCTGGAATTTATAGTATTCATCAAGGAAACTGTAAAAATTAACTGTGTTGCTTCATTTAATATCAAATACTGCAGCATAAGGAACTGGTCTATTTGTAAATGGTCAAATCATTAATTTGGTATTAGGAATACTCTTAGCTCATCTTTAAGCATTCTCTCTCTCTCTGTTGTTGTTGTTGTTTTGTTGTTTGTAAAAAGAAATTAAGACCCTGATCCTGCAAAGACTTATGCCCTTGCTTAGCTTTAAGTACTTAAGTGCCATTGACTTTGCAGAATTGGGGTCTAAATGGGTTGTAGAAATAGTTTGCTGTATGGATAAAATACTGTGTAAGATTTAGTCAATTTGTTTAATTACACATAAGATGAACTTGGAGATTGTCTGAAAGTTTCTTTGTTTCAACAAATTAATTGAATATTTCATATACTTCTACTGTGCATTATTTGCAGAATCCTAAATTATTTTATTTCAGGTTGGTTAATGAGTATTTTTGTCTTTAATAGCTCCTCTTGCTTATGAGCCATTTTCTACTCTTGCCATGATCTATGAAGACCAAGGTGATATGGAGAAATCATTGCAATTTGAGTTGATTGCAGCTCATTTAAACCCTAGTGACACTGAGGAGTGGGTTAGACTGGCAGAAATGTCACTAGAGCAGGACAATATTAAACAGGCCATATTTTGCTATTCAAAAGGTAATGTAATGACTATTTTACTATTCCTTTGTACTTGTGGTAATTTTATTTGATAATGTAATGATAATCATTTGATTTGCTTTAGCTATCCCGTTCCGTTTTCTGTTCGCTGAGACTGTGGTAACATTGTTTAAAACTGATTTGATCTTTGTGTATAGGCATGTCTCATTCTACAAGGTCTGAGAGTTTTTCCTTCTTATTAAAAGTGTGTGGGAATATTAAAAGTCTATGGATGATTGAGCAACCCCTTTTGCTGTGTTTGGGAGAAGATAAACATCATAAATTTATATATTTGAAAGCATTACATTAGTAGCTAATGTACATACTAGAGAAGTCTATTGGATTTGGAGTATTATAGGAGATCTTTCCTCAGGCTGCAAATATTGTTTTCTGTACTATTTTTCTTATCTTCTAAGATGATACTGACACTTGTCACGGGTTTTATCATGTATGATTCAGGTGGATAGTCAAGCAAGCATAGTGAGCCCAGACTTGCATTTGTCTAAGCTATGTACAGTACTGACTACTTGTGGTTATTGTCGTAGCTCTGAAGTATGACCCTACCAATGTCCGTTATCTGTGGGAGAGATCAAGCTTGTATGAGCAGATGGGAGACCATAAAATGGCAATGGATGGCTATAGACGTATCTTAAATCTTCTGTCCCCTTTTGATGGAGAACGCTTTATGCAGTTGGCCAGGGACATGGCGAAGTAAGTTCTTTTGCCAATAGCATGACTTGATTTTCCAAGATTGAAAGAAATCTGATTAATTTAAGCTTATTCCCTTTGCCCTTTAGAAAAATCATTGGGAATTTCTTCTTGTGACTTCTACAGCCTTTAAAATAATGCTCTTTCTGCAGAACCTAGTTAGTTCAGGAGCCATGCCTGAAATCAGGAACTGAAGCAGTTTCTGAACAGTATTACATATCCAATAATTAGTGCTGAAATCAACTGTTTGATTTATTCAGCAAGTCAGTTACTGCTTTGTGTGCCTCAGTTTTCTCATCTGCAAAACAGGCTGAGAATAACTTATTTCATCTCACAGAGGCCCAGCGAGGCTAATTCTTTAATAATTTAAAGCCCTTTGAGATCCGTGGACGGGAGGTGGTATATGTATGCAAATTAGTGTTGTAACAATATTAGAGTTTCAGCTGAGAGTACCTTAATACAATAAAGCCTGCTAACTTGGTTACGGGACACGGGGGAAGGGGTGGGGGAGAGAGAGAGAAGGCAAGAGAAAGCGATTTATTGGGTTTTTAAAAAGTTAACATGTAAGAGAAAAACTAATGATAAAATTCAGTTAGTCAAATGGTAAAAAATTATCACAAGGTTGAAAAATCTGTTCTTTTTTACTTAAAAAAATCCTAACTTGCTCTAATAAAAATCCTCATAAGGAGGAGAAGACAAATAAAAGGGACACGGGAACGTGTTAAAAATCCATACAATTTTTTGGGTGAATCTTAGTTGACTAATTTTCATAATATGCGTAGCATTGAAAATTATCACTAATATCTCATACCCATATTTTTATAGGAGTTACTATGAAGCCAATGATGTCACCTCTGCTATTGAGATAATGGAGGAAGCCTTTACTAAACATCAGAGCCTCATCTCCATGGAAGATATTAATATAGCAGCTGAACTGTATATCTCCAACAAACAGTATGACAAAGCTATGGCGGTATGACAATGAAATGCTTTTGTGTCAGGTTTAACCGTTCTGTGCCCTTTAGAAGGGCAGATTTTATCTTTAAGATTTTGAGCAATATAGTTTTTCCAGTTTTGTGATAGTTCAGCAAGTCTAATACTTTAATATTCATTACTCCAGTCTGTCAGTAAATTAGCATTGAAATCAAGTTTGATTTAATCGGTAAGAGGCAACAGAAGATTTGTATGTTGTTTCTTGGGGAAGATTTTAAAAATGTGATTTTCTTCTCCTTAGATGTATTGATCTGGGTAACCTGATGAAGCCAAACAGTCACGATCTGTGTGTCTGTGACACATCAGCACAGATCATTCATAGTTTAGGGCAAGAAGGGAACATTAGATCATCTTTATGACCTATAATACATTACAGGCCATTACACCCAGTTGTTCTTTTGTTGAGCCCAATAAGTTATGCTTTAGTCAAAGACACCCAGTTTCAATCTGAAGACCTCACAACTTGAAGAACACCACTCCCCTCAATATTTTTTCAAATGGTTAATCACTCACTGTTAAAAATTTATTTCTAATTTGAATATGTTAGGCTTCAGCTTCATGCCATTGGTTCTTGTTATGCCTTTCCCCACTTGATGAAAGAGCTTGTTAGTAGCTGTAATTTTTTTCCCATGAAAGTATTTAAACACTGTAATCAAGGCATCTCTTCTTTTGGTAAGCTAAACAGTTTGAGCGCTTCTCTGTCTCTGACTGGTAAGGCATTTTCTCCAGCCCTTCAGTCATTTTTTTGGCTCTTTTCTTCAACTTCTCTGGTTTTTCAAGATTCTTTTTAAAATGTGGAAACCAGAATTGTATACATTATACCAGTATCAGTCTCACCTATGCCATATGCAGAGGTGAAATCACCTTCCTGCTCACTACTTCTCTATGGAAGTCTAAATATTTTAAATCAAGACATTAACTTATGGTCTATTAACATATGGTCCAGACTCTGGGGGGAAAAAAAATTGAAAAACCCTATATTAACTCTTTTTTGCATGGGTTACTCCAGCAATGACCATGTTGTGAAGCTGTTTACCTAGAACAGTTATTTTATGTTGATTTTATTGTTTCTAACAGGACATGAATTGCTCTTCCATTTTTAGGTTATTACGGATTTTTCAGGAATTGTAGTTTCAAAGAAAGTGACTGAACAAGGCCCTTCTGAGGAGAATAAAGGTAACTGGCAAACAAGCAGCTAGTACGATGCCATGTATACCAGTATCTCCCTTGTAGTGCATGTTCTTTTGAGCTATTCAATACTTCTAGATTTTTCTTGAAAAGTTCTTCATTGTTGTAGGTGACACATGGTCTATTAAACTTTTTATAGTAAATTAATTTTGCTCATGAAAGCCAGTTGGCCACTTTGATGTGGTGACTCATTAAACCCATGGGCTGCTGTCTAGGTTATAATATAATAGGTGGCTAGTTAAATTGCTAAAACTCCCACTGAGGTTTTCAGATCAGATGATTTACTTTTCTTAGATAAATAGCTTTTGAAAAACACTAATTTAATAGCATCTTGACTCAAATATCTGTCTTTATACTAAATGAGATAAAACTAATTATATTCTTTTTAAACCCTACCTGTGCAATTACAAATTCAATTTTGGTTTATGCAGATATATAAATACTAGTTTGGGATCATAAATTTGCTTCCACATGAAAGCCATTGCTTGGTTCTGAAAATGTTTGTCTGCTGTGCTTTTAAGTGGTTTATCAAGCTGAAAAATTATTTTTTTTTTTAAATAAATAAAAAAACTAGCTCAGGCCAGTAGTATTTGTCTGTGGCTGACCAGTTGGTTTAGCAGTGAAGTCCAAACCCAGTGCAAATATAAGACCTAGTCCTGCGTTCCTTTTTCAGGCAAAACTCCTGAAAAATCTTCTCACTACAAAACATAAATGAGGAGCAAAACTATTACGAATCAAAAAATAAATGCAGTTTATTATGTCATGCCAAATCACATAGTTATTAGGACAAACCTATACAATCCACTAGAAGCTTACTTTCCCTTTTTCCTTTCTCAACTTTTTAAAGCCCTTGTCACTGTGCCATCTTTTACAAAGAGGCTTGTAACTACTTTTCAGTAATTAACAAAAAGCTACTAATCAAATGTAGACACCAAATTAAATAGTTTTGGATTCACTGAAAACTGCTAAAGAGTTTAATCTGATTTTTGTTTCCTGTCAGACATGAAAGATGTAGTGGCTGTTGTGGAAATTCAGGAGAGTCAAGTGGCAGTGATCGACTACCAAGATTTTCCAGCTGAGGCCAGCGCTGTTTGTAAGCAATTTAATTCTGAATCTAGTGTAAAGGTGTAACCTGATCATGGTCAGTATTCAGCTTTTGAAAGTCTGGGCAACAGTGAAGGTTTCTGACAGCAGGGATGTTGGATTTAGTCTAGAAAAGATTCTTGATCTGCCTTTCTTCCTTGGTTGAAAATTACTGCCTCCTACCCAGTCCACCTTCAGATTTTAAAAACACCCAGTTTCCAGAAATTATCCACTTTGAAACTGCTGTTTTATCATGCTTTTAAAACATTTATCAGCAACTGAATAATGATAATGATTATACTTGGCATGTATATAGTGCTTTATTTGTTCAAAGAAATGTAAACATTGACTAATCCTCACAACTGTTACTTATAGGTCCTGGAAGTGTGTATTGTTAGTGGTTGTGTATTAGAAGTGAAATGGAGTTGATTGTAAACCTGAGGAGTCTGTGAATGTGTTTGGGGTTCATGTTGACTGATGGTGAGGCATCTTAGGTTGGTTCAGATTTGGTGAGTTCCTTGACATTTAGTGATTGATTGCGTTTACAGGAAGTACATTTGAGCAACCATAAACCCAAATTAATGAACTTTCAGTGTGGGATTTCTATACGATTTAGTAGTTAGTTAACAAGAGTAACCTCTTTGACATGAACAGCATACTTGCCATTCTCTCTAAATTATACCTACAAAGCCTGCAATAAGGAGAGTTCTGTAGGTATGTGCTATGTGTGTTACAAAATGCAGAAAGAGTCAGTCCCTGTTCTTATAGGGCTTATGGTCTAATGTGAAAAAGTAGCATATGCGGGACTACAGTTCATGTAATAGTAAAGGAGCTGGGGACACTAAGTAGGTCAGTATAGGAAGGCTTTGTGAATGAAGAGAGTTTGAAGGAGGAGAGGGAGGGCACTAAGGACTCTGTGGTGCTGAGTATATCCTGCAAGGTTCAGAGCACCTTCAACTACTGCTGAAGTCAGTAAAAATTGATGGCACTTTGCAGGATCAGATGCTTAGGTCACAGGGAGTAGGAAGTTGGTTCAAACATCAGGGTAAGCAAGAAAGAAATGAATCAGTTAGGGCCTGATCTAACACTCATTGAATCAATAGAAAGATTTCCATTGACTTTTGAGGAGCTGAATCAGGACCGGAGAAGTGTAACAGGCAAGAGGATATAATAGAAAGGTGTTGAGGATGTGGTGTCATTGTTAAAAGCTGTGGTTTCAGAACTAAGTGTTGTCTTTTGTAGCTGAAGATAAAGTTAGCTGCTCTATACCTGATGGAGTTCCAATTGACATCACAGTAAAACTAATGGTGTGCCTGGTTCACCTGAACATTCTGGAGCCACTCAGTGTAAGTAAAAACTAATACATAGATAAATATGGGGTAATTTTGGTTAATCATGTAATGCGTCGTTTTCACTTTCTCATGAGCAAGGACTTCCATTTGCCACTGTGTTTTTTACTGTTCATTTTCTAAAAATGACCACAAAGCTAGGAAGGTCATCACAACAGCACTACAGGAGGCTTGTAGGATGGATTTTAAAAATCATAATTATAGTATAGACTCAAGCCTTCTCACACACCATCCTGATGGAGATCTTTACAAGGGTGTTTGGATGTGAAGTTTTCCTTTTCTCTATCACAGCCAAAATAAGATTGTTCTTTTAGGAACCTATCCTGAAATTCTAATCTCATTTTTTCCCTTTGAAATCACATAAAAATGAAGGGTTCAAGTTTCAGGATGGACCACTTATGCATATTGTTTCAGATGTTGAATAGAAAATGTAAATATTCCATTGCCCTCTCCAATATAAAGTGGGTTAGTACAGTAATTGTGTATGTGTGTGGCTTGACTTAGTATTTCATTTTTACTTGTTTTTTATTTTTTGGGGGAAAAGCCTCTTTTGACTACTCTAGTGGAGCAAAATCCAGAGGATATGGGGGACTTGTACCTGGATGTTGCAGAGGCGTTTTTGGATGTTGGAGAATACAATTCAGCACTACCACTCTTGAGTGCCTTAGTTTGTTCTGAAAGATATAACTTGGCAGTAGTTTGGCTCCGGCATGCAGGTAAGCAGTATTGCAATGTTGTTAACACTTCTGACTGAAGAGTAGAAACTCATTTCCATATGATGCTAATAACATTCTGGTGACATTAGTGCTGTAAAGGCCTGAAACTGATAGGTGCTTTTGCACTGACCACCATCATCTCCTGTTGACCTCTTAGGCCATTAGCTAAGAATGTCTGAACATCGGATAGAGAGTTCATATGATAAATTGTCGTAAGTGTCTACCATGCTGTAGTTACGATTAGAGTGTATCACATTTATCCTTGTGGTGGAAGGTTTTCTTTTATGGCGGTCCTCTTCAAGTGTATCCAAAAATGTTCAGATTGATTGAAACAATTTCAACATAAATATTTAGTCTTAGCAATGAAGACCATTGTTCAACTTTCTGTTTTGTGGTGATTGCTGAAACATGGTTTTGTGTTTTTTCTCTTAAGATTCTGCAGATTAAATGACACTGTTATTCCTCAGGCACAAGATACTATATTGTGTGTTACTATTTTAGTAATATGTGCTCAGTGTAGTTCATTTGTAGAGCACAACAAAAGCCTGTGTGTGATACAGAACTAGTCTAGTTTGTATGAAAATAGGCACAGTCTCACTTCTGTCATATAAGTGTATTGTATTTGTTGGTATTTATTTCTAGAGTGTCTAAAAGCCTTGGGATATATGGAGCGTGCTGCAGAGAGCTATGCGAAAGTTGTTGATCTTGCCCCGTTGCATTTGGATGCAAGAATTTCACTTTCTACACTTCAGCAGCAGCTGGGCCGGCCTGAGAAAGCTTTGGAGGCTCTGGAACCAATGTATGATCCAGATACTTTGGCACAAGATGCTAATGCTGCCCAGCAGGTAGGTGAAATGTTATATAATGTGATTTTTTTCTTCTTCTGTGTCTTGACTCTTTTGTCCACAGTTTTGGTGTACATAATTCTGTTATGGCAAGAATGTATTGCTAAATGCATTTCTTTGGTAAATTTCCTCCATGGCATTTGTAGTGATTTTGTATACTCTGTAAAGAAACATTGTAATTTTAACGCTGGTAAAAGATGCCAGCTTGGCAATACTGGAGACTGTGGTCTCTCTATCTACAGCACAGGTCACAATGGGGGGTTGTGGTGAAACATTCTCTACTGTGCTCCAGAGGGACCACTGCTAGGGTCAAGAGGGTATCTCACTCTACATGTCTATTAATCCCAACTCCCAGTATCTAAATTCTGACTCTGATTTTTGTGTGCTGTATGACCACCTGTCCAATAGGAACTGGACTAAAGACCAGTCACTTCACATCAGCTGTCCAGCAGAATCAGATGTTAACTTTTGTCTACTACTGATCTGATTGTAAGTGTGACATAGTTGATAGGTTCTGTATCCCATTTCCAATAGCTCCTCCATCAAATAAGAGCTATATAGATTTTCTTCTAAATTTAAGTGATGAAACAAAACAACTATTATCTGAGGGAAGTTTTGATTTTCCCGTGCTGTCATTAAGATTTTAATACAGTTTTCTAAATATTGTTGTTTTCTTTTTTGGTACTAATACTATACTAGCAGCCAGAAAAGTAATGTTTATAAAAACACTAAGTGTAGGTAGTGGTAGTTTATGACTTAATTAACTCTGCTCAATGTTATCTAGGAATTAAAGTTACTGCTCCATCGTTCAACGCTGTTGTATTCTCAAGGCAAAATGTACGGTTATGTGGACACTTTACTTACCATGCTAGCAATGCTATTAAAGGTAAGTTAATTCTTGTAGCCAAGCTTTATTGGATGGGACAGACATGTCCTGTTTAAGCCAAAGGATAAAAGTACTCAAAAGTATTAGAAATCTATAGAAATAATTGTAAACTGATGTCTTATATATGAAATATCAGAGTTTAATATGCCTTATCATCATCTGGTGTACCTGAGTCTTTCAGAGGTGCTCCCATCAAAGCCACTAGGTACCTTTTCAGAATTAGGCCATTAATTTGTAATCAAAATAATGCTCTATTCTGTAAAAGGAGAACTTCTATTGTATGCGTTAAACTACTGATATGCCTTCTTTACAGATACTGCCTATTTGTACATGACCTGTTTTTATTTGTATTTTCTCACAAGTGTCTGCATATGTTAAATGAAATACACACTGGGGTCTTTACTGGATGATTTCAAGATTGTTTCAGGTTCTATATTATTCCTTACTATGCATAGAACAATCAGAACATAGAATCACTTTTTAATGTTTGTGGTAGATAGTATTGTGTTTCGCGTATAGCTACCGTAAATTACACAGGCCACATAAATAAGATGATTTAAAGTTAAATTATTTAAATAACTATCCTTTTACATTCTTGTTGTCCATATCCTAACAAAAACTATTTTTAGGTAGAATTTACTTAGTTTGCAAGTTGTTGTTGCTTTTTGTTTGTTTGAGTTTTGTTATATTCAGAGTTCCATTTTCCCAAAATTGTTACAGTTTGGGGTCACAGTCACTGTACCAATTGGTTAGTTGACTGTCCACCTGTTTCTAAAATCTTGATACTGGTAGCATGCTATCTTTTTTATTATGCCTCTATGAAAGAAGTTTTGACTCGGCTATAGACAGAAGTCTACCAACCTTTATAAAAATTCAACTCCTCTGGAGAGCTTTTATCCTTCTCTTTTGGTTAACTCAGTCTAAACAGGAACATGAAACAATGCTAAATACAGTCTTAGTGTTTGTGAACAATAGTCAAATATGCTTCTACTTATTATGGCATAACTGATCTGAAAACAATTTTTGAACATAGCTAGAGAAGATGTATTGGCAACAGGATGTATTTGTATAATCAGAAACTTAGAATTGTTGTCCTTCATGATTGTTTCCAGGTAGCAATGAATAGAGCTCAGGTGTGTTTGATATCTAGTTCCAAATCCGGGGAGAGACACCTTTACCTTATGAAGGTGTCTAGGGATAAAATTTCAGACAATGATGACCAAGAGACTGCAAACTGTGATGCAAAAGGTAACAGACTTTTAAAAAAATAAATCATTTTAATTTCCTACATACCAAAAAATCCTGTAATTATGTTACACTCCAAATCCTTATTCAAATGTACATGACTTTATTATATCTGTTTCACCCCCATGCTTTATTCATACAGTGCCTAATTTACACCCTGATCCTACAGTCTTTTTACTCAGATGAATAGTCTGATTTCAAGCCAAGGAAATGACTTTCATCAGTAAGGACTACTTGAATGAGTAAAGATTGCAAAGTCTTGTTGTTAATATGAAAGAGAGTATATTAATGAATGAGCTACTTCCATCGAGCGAAGCTTTGCCACAAACATTGGGACTGCACAAGCCTATATTGATGGGCTTAGGAAAATCAAGTTTTCCCCTCATTTAAAAGCAAGCTAATCCTATCTGACAGGCAGATAGTATACTCAGTACTGCTGCTAGTGGAAAAGTCTCTTTAGGCATAACAATATTTAAAAACAAAACATAATGCTTTGTTTTCCAGCTAGATCCAAACTGTACCTGATTCAGACTTGTAGTTATTTAGCATCATCAGGTAAATGGGGAAGTTTTTAATGTGTGTTTATGTAATACTGGAGCAGCTTGAATTGCTGCTGTTTTAAATTCCCTGGAATTCTGAAGTTCTCACTTTAATGGTTATGGGTTCCTGTTAAAAAACAGGAATTTCATAAATTGTGTTATGAAAGATTTCAAATACCATTGAAATATATTCCACTCTTAATGTAAAAGACTCTTCATTTAAAAAAACAAATAAAAGTTTAGATTGAAGTTTAAAAGGTGTGTGTGTGTGTAAGTCTTTAGCCCTTTAAGACTTTAATTTCCTTGACTGATTGGCTTTATTAATATTTTAGCAATATTTGCTGTGCTCACAAGTGTACTGACAAAAGATGACTGGTGGAACCTCCTCCTGAAAGCCATATACTCTTTGTGTGACCTTTCCCGATACAAGGAGGCAGAGCTGCTGGTGGATTCCTCACTGGAATATTATTCATTTTATGATGATAGGCAAAAGCGCAAAGAGCTGGAGTACTTTGGTCTTTCAGCTGCAATTCTGGACAAGAACTTCAGAAAAGGTTACAACTATATCAGGTGAGAAGTGTTGGACTGTAGCTGATCACAACGTTGTGTTTTTTAATGGTCTGTATAATGATTTCCATTGAGGTTGTAGTTACATTGCTGAGAACATTTGCTGCTGATGTAAAATAGTTAATTTCTGAATTGCCATTGGGCTGATCTGTTGTTTCTAAAAGAAACCGAATACTGTTTACTTTAAATGTGCCTTAAAAGCAGATTCATTGACTGAAATGAAGGGGCTCTTTGGTGTCCTTTAATTGCAAAGCAATGTAATACAGTAGCTAGCTCTGTGTGCAATGCAGCTATTTGGTCATCGTGATGTACATTATGAAAGTACTCTACAAGCTTTCTTATCCCAAGTTTGTCTCTTTCACTGATCTAACGTTTACTTCTGGGAAGTCCAAAGGGAAAGAATAGTCTTAAAGCAAATTGTAGCTCCTGTGGCTTCCTCTACAGACTGTTCACTCCCTGATTTATTGCATATTTACATACAAGATATTCAATAAATGCTTTTTGCTCATGTTTTAGGATAATGTTAATGGAAAATGTTAATAAACCACAACTCTGGAACATCTTCAATCAAGTCACCATGCATTCTCAGGATGTACGACATCATCGCTTTTGTCTTCGATTAATGCTGAAAAATCCTGATAATCATGCACTGTGTGTCCTAAATGGGCATAATGCATTTGTATCTGGTAGTTTCAAGCATGCTCTCGGTAAGGCCATCATTATACTGTACTAATATCAACAAGTATGACCTTTAGGGGTGTGAAATGTTACTCTCCTGTACTTATTTTTACCATCAAATTTCTCATATTTTGAGTATATTTTTTTCAAAGTAGAGTGAATGTGCCCTTCAGGTAGAAAAAAATCGCTGAGTATTTATTTCCTGCTTCAATAAATGAAGTACAGTTCTTAGTTAGTGTGAATAGGCATTTTCATACTATTTAACCATTTGGTAACAGAATCTCTGAGCATTAGCGAATGGACTGGCAATGTTTCAGTGTTGGTTTAAAATATATATGGTATACGTGATTTAGAAGTTTTCTAACGAACCTGCAAGAAAGATAATTAAATGATTACACTAAGAAAGAAACAGGCCCATTTAATCAGCAGTATATGGCAAATGTGAAGTTTTAAGTGTTTGTTCAAAGGAATATTGCAGGGTTAATTTAAGAAATTGTCATCAGCCTATGCCGTGTCAGAGAAGAGCAAGTTACCAATAATATAATTAAAATAAACAAGAAGTCGCCATTTTGCCAATCTCTGTATATAGATTAGGGCAGAGGAATTGGGCAGGTTCTGATAGCAACCACTCAAAATCCAGAGTTGTGAAATCAGTTGGAGGTCTCAGCACGGTTCTGATTGGATATGAGGCCACATTAGGAAAAAAAAAAAAATCAGCATCCTGTTTGGCACTCCTTTTGTAACTCAGGGGAGTGACCAAGGGGTGGCTGGTCCTGGAGCTTGAACCTGCCCTCCCACTCTTAAGAGTAGTACCTCCGGTTCGGGTTGAGGCACACTGGAGGTGGTCAAGTGTGGGGGGTCTGCATTGCCACTATCCATGTCTTACCTGTGTTGTGGATAACCATAGAAGGCAGCCAGAATTTTCAAAGACTACTGATTTTGAGTGCCTCCATTTTTGGATGTCTAACTTGAGACTTCAAATGGGTCTGACTTTCAGGAAGTGCTGAGCACCCACACTCTGAAAATCAGGTGCCTTTAAAGTATCTAAAGTTGGACACCCAAAATCACCTACTCTCTTTCAAAAGTCTTAGGTGAAATCCTTGTCCTGTTGAAGTCCATGGGAGTTTTGCCATTGACTTCAGTATTTCACCCCTTCTTCTTCTTCTTCTTCCTTCACAAGGCTGACTGTTTGACATCTTTCTCAGCACTAATAGTCAAGAAAAAGAAAATGTGTGTAATGAATCTTTTGAAATTAAAATTTGTGTTCCATTAGAAAGTGGCATTTTCTTTATAAAAAGACAATAGGAAAATAAGATGTTTCTTTCTCGTCAAGTAACCACAAGGCACTCAATCAGAAACATTGACCATGTTCTGAATTATGATAGTCTTTCCTCTAAACAGCATTAACTGGGCATTAAAATAAATAAGAGGCCTAGATCTTTAGTTGTTTTGTTTTTAATATGCTAGAAGCAACCAGTTCACCATGGTGCAAAAACAAGGGGGGCAGAACCTCAACTGGTATAAATGATCATAGCTGCATTGACTTCAGTTAAGCTATGACAATTTATACCAGTTGAGGATCTGCCCCAGGTCTCTCAAAAGAAAATACATTAGAAAGTAGTATACACCAAAAGTCTAAAGAATTTCCTCATGATGTTTGAAGATATTGTTGCTGTTGCACCTTGCCACTCTGAGCTACAACCCCAACAAGACCCTCTTTTCCCCCTCCTAATAAGTCTTTGTTTTTATTCTGATATGTTTAAGTGTGGTATCTCCCTCTTTCCTGTTTTGATGCAGTCATTTTGAAATCTGATTCTCTTTCTTGTTTCCTTCCTTTTTTCAGTTCACACTTCCAAAAAAGTGTTAGGTTTTTTGAAAAAAATGAAACCCAGTTTAAGAGAGAGTGTATCAGATCATTTACTCCTGTTTCTCCTAGGACAATATGTGCAAGCCTTCCGTACCAAGCCAGATGAACCTCTGTACAGCCTTTGCATAGGCTTAACTTTCATCCACATGGCATCTCAGAAGTATGTGTTAAAAAGACATGCTCTTCTTGTACAGGTGAGTTAGTTTGTTCTCCTTTGTGCATAGCACATGCTGTCATTTAGTTCTGTCATGGCTCACACAGTTACAGCTCTGACACATTATTAGAGCTGATTGACATTTAAAAAATAGAGTTAGGGTAGAATTTTCAAAACCCTCCAAGTACCTTAGGAGCACGCGTCCCAGTGACAGTCAGCTTGTGCTCCTAAGTCACTTCTGTTCTTGAAAATCTCCCCTTTGTGAATAAAAGCAATTCAGTTCATTTTGTTGTGGGTTGGGGAATCTTTAATTATTTGCATATATTTAGGCAGCTGCCATGTATTCATGAAAATAATTTCAGCTTCACTAGCTTTAGTATGGATGTTTATTCATCTGACCCTTGTGCTGGAAGCGAAGCATTCACTACTCTGGTTTTTAAAAACAAGAGTCCCTTACCCAAACAGGGAACAGAAACACCACCAAATGACTTAGATGACTAACCACAAATAATGTAACTGAAGCAAAGAGTTCACAAATAACCATAGGTTGAAAATTTTGTCCAAAATATTTGCTGAAAACCTACAAACGAAGGGAGGATCATAGGAAGATCATCATTCTGGATTGATTCATGAATGATTCATTAACAAAAACGGGCTAATTCCTACAGAGCATAATAAATAGTTTGACAGCTCTACGAACTGCACAGTAGGGCTGAGAGTCAAATAACAGTTCTTCACTGAGCACATTTGAGACTCGTGTGTAATGCATGGAGGAGTATTAATCAGTGAGCAATCCCTAGTAACTCGTTAAGGGCTAGAGCTCACAAGATGCTGAATGCTCTCAGTTCCCACTGAGGCAACGTTGGGCCCGTGAAAGGTTTTGGGCTGGTCTGTAATGATCCAATTGAGGAAATCTTGTGCTCTTTACCCTGAAGGCATTAGGGACCATGGTATAATGGTATTAAAGTGATTTACCTTTTGATATACTGCAATGGCTCTGCTCGGTTGTATAACTGGCTTGCAAGTTTTGTACAGGAAAGTGTGTGGATAATCAGCTGTGCATAAGATCACTATGGACAAATTGCCTATGAAATTTAATTTTTTTTAACCTAAGTCCCTGCAGAAAATGGCATTGATTTAATTTAAAAAAGTAACAAACTAATTTGCATCTGCATTTTCAACCTTATAAGTCAAATTCCAACCCATACTCTTTTTCTGAAAAGATTTCAGCTACTGTCTGTTTTTAAAATATGACACACATTGAAAGTGCTAATGCAACATCACTGTCCTTTCTGTTGATTTCTCCTGGATGCCTGTATTCAAATTTAGGTTAATTACCTTGAAGGTTTACATGGATTCCTGGATTTGCATGGCCCACAGACTCTCTTCTTGAATTGCAGCTCTATCTTTTTCCACATTCAACTAATCCCATTTCTTCGTGTCCGCACCTGCCAGACAGTTGGGGCTGAACAGCCCCGCACTGGATCTGAAGCGTTTGGATCAGGCCCATTTCTGGTACTGGCACAATCCTGATTTTCTTCATTATTTCAAATCCCTTCCTTGGAAATTCCAGGTGTTTTTTTTTTTAATTATTATTATTCCCTCTACTCCTCCTCCCCATACCTTTCAGTGAACCAAATGAGGTGAAGAGCTAGGGCCATCATATTCCAGTTTGGGGGCATGGAGTTAGGCATTTAAATACAGGGCCTGATTTTTAGAAGTGCTGAGCACTTGCAGCTCCCTTTAATTTCAGTAGGAGTTGCAGGTGCTGAGCAACCCTAAAATCAGAGCACTTATGTAGATGCCTAGCTTTAGGCATTCAAGTTTGCACACTTTGGCCTAATTTTAAATATGTTTAACTATTTTTTCCTGTGTAATAATCCTTCCTTCCTATCTCTGTTGCTGACAGTCTCCAAAGAATATACTTGAAAAATGTCACCCTCCAAAGATGCCTTCCTTTTTGTCTCTGCTTTTCTCATTTCATGTTCACCTATGTTGAGGGTTTTTAATCTTTGCTAACTTCTGATTTGTTTGTTCAGTAGTTCACCCAGACAGCGACATAGTGGTGACTCTAATTATCATCATCAGCTGTTAGAGTCTGAGCTAATTCCTTACTGTTGAATGAGCTCTCTTCTCTGATTATCAATAGTGGCTGTGTGGCCCTTACAGGTTGGACAGTCTTAGCATGAGGCTTTGTAACTAAGGCTACCTGTGACTTCCAGAGACCTCTGTGACATTCTGTGCTTCAGCCTCAGGGGCTGTGGGTTCTGGAGCTGGCAGCCAGCTGGGTCCTGGAAGGGTTCCAGTGACAGGCGACAGCAGCCCCCCTTCAGGGTTCCAGCAACAGGTGACAAACTCCTGAGGGGGCCCTCAGGGTTTCAGCAATGGGCAACAGCCTCACGTGGGGTGGGGGTGGGGGGCAGCGGGATGCCTCAGGTGAGCGGCTGGGGGTGTCCTGTTTTCTCTTTGGCCGATATCCTCTTCCTGCAGCTTCCAGCTGCCGTGGGCAGAGGGGGGAACCCCACAGCTCCCAGCCACCATGGTGGCAGGGGAAACCATGGAGCTGTAGTAGCAAAAGTCAGACAGGTCAGGGCTTCCGTGAATTTTTTTTGTTGCCTATGACATGTCTGTGACTTTTACTAAAAATAACCATGATACAGTCTTAGCCAAAGTTATAACATGAGTTGGATATAGGATAGTAAGGGATGTCAGGCAGAAAGGGTGATCCTGTGGGGAAAACAAGGCTGTAGCTCTTATATTATTTTGCCAATGCTCCTTTGTAAGTTTTGTAAGTTTAAAAAAAAAAAAAAGAAAGAAAGAAATTCAAGGGGAAAAATGAAAATGCTTTTCATAGCCATTGTATATAAATAAATGTCATGCCTTTAACCCCCTTTTTTCCTACATTTGCACAAATCCAAATTTTTGGTTCGCTGTCGTGGCTGTTACAAAAATGCTCACTTTTTTTTTTTGGTGGTGATCCATTCAAAACATGAAACTGAACTCTGTTTCCTTACCACACATTTATTTAGCTCATACACTGACTTGTTGAAGGATTGCTCATAAGAGCTATAGCTAATGAACTGGCAGTCAGGAATTCCTACATTCTAAATCTGGCTCAGATACTGATTTGTGTGGTTTTGGTTGTGTCATTTCACCTCTTTGTTGGGGATCGGTCCTGCTTTGAGTGGAGGGTTGGACTAGATGACCTCCTGAGGTCCCTTCCAACCCTGATATTCTGTGATTCTGTGATCCCTTTTCCAGCCTGGGTTCAGTACTCCTCCCCCTTTCCCTTTGTCCTTGTTCCTAAGGTGTTTCCAGCAGTCCTCCTGGGTGGGGATTCAGTGAAGAGTGAACCAAGATCAACTTAATCCCCAGCCTTAAATACGATTTACATAAGGCGGGAATCTTTTGTTTCCCAGTGTTGATCTCCCCCCCCCTTTTAGAAGTCCAAGATGGTGTTTAGTTCCAGGTGACAGGACCACCTCACCAAGTAGTGTCACATCTAGTCCCAGGAAGCCTCTGAGGAAGGAGAGATTAGTATCTTCAAACGTCTTATTGTTTCTTCCTAATGGCCCATCAAGGCTGATGGGCTATTGTCTGGTGGGTGTCTCCCAACTACACACACAGTTGTAATTATTACATAGTCAATATTCCTAACTTTAGATACAGAAATGATACATGCATATAAATTGGATAATCACATTCAGTAAATTATAACCTTTCCGATGATACCTTATAAGACCCACCTTGCATAAAATATATCTGTTATGCCATATCCATATCGTAAGCATATTTCCATAAATAATACGGAGTGTAACATCACTGCAGGTTCTAATTCAAATGGGGATAAAGGGGGCTGGGGTGGGCAAGTGTTTAAAAAAATAGTAGACAAGAGGTGGTGTTCTAAAGCGTAACAGATACGGGGTTAAGCAAACAATCTCATTGTATCCCTTCGTTCCTCCCCTTCCTTTTGTCTCACTATTTAGATGGCAAGTTCTTCAGGGCGTGGGCCTGTCTTACATGTGTGTAAATATCTATCAGAGTTGAGTGCTATAGAATATAGTAATAATTCTGAGCAATTTTGCTCAAAGTTTATCAAAAGATCTGTTTGTTGTCTTCACTATGTGCGGCTGCTGAGGCAACAAAGAATCTCCTCTGTTGGTCTAGTGTGTCATGGAAAGTGGATGGCTTGTTTTTGCATTTGGCCTTAAATTAGGCAGTTATATTTATGGGCATAAACCTCTTTTTGCAAATTTAAAACATGCTGCTTATTGTTTTATAAAAAATAAAGCTTCCAATGTATGTTTTGTGCATAGGGATTCTCTTTCCTTCACCGGTACCTGGGCCTCCGTGGACCATGCCAAGAATCTTTCTATAACCTAGGCCGTGGCCTTCATCAGCTGGGATTAGTGCATATGGCAATCCATTATTACCAAAAGGCACTGGAGCTTCCTCCTCTCATCTTAGAGGTACCGTATGGTTAAACATTTGAACTATAAAAGTAAAATCAGATCAGCATTACTAATATGTTTTAACCAGAAGTAAAGCATGAGTGTCCAGTTTATATTTGCATTGAATAATCCCAGTGTAATTTTAGAGGCACTAGAGAAAGCACTTAATTTAATTGTCATCTGAGCTGTATTCATGAACATGTATAACTCAAATTGCTCAGGTAATGATTGTCAGGTTTATTTTATTATCCGCCTGGTGTAGCAACGGCAAGAAAATGGTTGCTGAAGAACTTTGCCACCTGAATAAAGAAGCATACATAAGGTCCATTTTAAAAGCCAGAATAATATTAAATATAACTGGTATTTTCTCTGTTTCATGATTATGAAGGTTTAGTATAGAAATATAGAATTCCAATGTAACTATCTGAACGTGGTGGGAATGAACTGAGTACCTAGATGATAAAGAACTTGCCCATGTGTGTTATTGCACTGATTTTGTTACGTTTTTTAATGTAACTCATGGTATAGTATCCATGCAAGCTAGTAAATGATTTTTTTAATTCTTTCAGGGAATAGAAGCTGATCAGACAGACTTGCGAAGAGATGTTGCTTTCAACTTGTCACTAATTTATCAGAGCAGTGGAAATTTAAGAATGGCTCAAAAGCTGTTGTATACATATGGAATCGTATGATGGAGTTTGTGGCACCTGTTTATGACTAAGAGGTAGCCTGCTAGGAAAATAACATTTGTCATTTCCACTGGGGCAATGAGGATCTCATGCATTACACACCAATGGAGAGACCCATTCAAAAAGATGTGTACATATTTTTTCTAAACTGATCTAGCTGTGATTGGATCAGAGTTACTAGTTACCGTATATATTTTGTTTCCTGAACTTTTAAGCTATTTTTTCTGTTTCCTGAGGTTGGAACTGTAAAATGCCCCGATACAAGCAGGGTTCGACAAGCAGGCTTTTGTGAGCAGCTTCTCCAGACCTATTTAGATGTTGGTCGAGCACGTTATTGATAAGTTTTTGTGAAGCCTGAAGTTGGTGCTGGTACACAGAATTCTCAGGGACTAAAAATGTGTACTTTTTTTTGAGAAGATTTTTAAAAAGTAATTTAACTGGCTACTGTCCAAGTTCAATTCTGGCAATTGGTTACATTTGCCATGTACTGTACAAAATTGTTACTGTTATATAGGAGAGGAAAGACTGAAGAAATGGGCTTGAAGGGCAGGGGAAGATATAAGCTGAACACCCCCAGACAATAGATGCTTTGGATTCCTGGGAGAATTTTTCCAGAGAGAAGGGGGACAAACTTAACATTACAAATAACTGCAATTGCAAGACCTTTAAAGTACTTAAAAAGGATGATAAAGATTCCTAGAAAAATATTTCATGGCAAGCTGTGTCTAAGAAAAGTAATTTTCTTATATTACTAAATCGGTGTCACATCGGTAAAAGGTATCCATTTTCAGGAGTATTGTAAATTGGTCTAGTAAATATCTTTATTTATAAAATCAACAATCATTTAAATAACTTATTCTCAGCAAAAACAAAAAAAAGTCCTAAGTTGTGTAGTGGGCTAAACACTTGTTAGGTGTCGTAACCTACAGCCCATTATCTTCCTGTATTAAATAATTAAATATTGAGAGAGAGGTGCTGCAAATTCTGTATATTGCTTCGCTAATCAAGAATGATAATTCCGATTATACAGGTGTCATATGTTGATCTTATCCTGCAGAGAAATAACGTCATGCTGGAAGTGATGATGATAGTCTTATCTCTGAAACTTATCTTCAGTAAGATTTGTTTTAAAAGTCTTTGTAGTATTACAATACTAAATTTTGGTATGTGTAGTACTTCGAGCTGGCCCAACTAATTGAAGTTTAGTGGTAACGCGAATTCTATTAGATAACACATTAGTCAGTTTGGTGGTATAACCAGGCTCATGCATTAAATCTCAGCCACTCGTTACAGCTCTTGAAGAAAACTGGAACAAAGGTCTTGCCAAATTCTCTGTTCCTGGTGAACCAAAATATAATTTGTTTATATTAGATCAGATGATGAGATCAAATGGTCAGACAAAATGATGACACATACATACTACTATTGAAAGTGTGCTGTTCGCTCATCAACACAATTAAAAAAAAAATCTCACAATCTGTGGACTTCTGATGTGCTGAAGATAAGAGAAAATGACTTGTGTTTTGGAGGATAGGTCATAACTGGCCAGCATTTATAGTATCCCGAATATTATACCTTCTTCCCCAAAAGTCAGCTTTAATTCTACTACTTTCTAACTTGAATGCTAGACTTTGCAACCTTAATTTGGCTCCCTTTTTTATGTCCGTATGATAGTCTCTAATTGTATGATCAGATACTGTTTTTTCCACAACTTTATTCAGTGCACAGGACAGATGGCACTCAGGGAATTAATTGGATCCAAAACATGAATGCACAGAAGCTTCTCAGAGAACCTTGTTAAGAATTTAACCTGTGAAAAACAATGTATTTTTTTTCTTAACTGCGTTCTTGGAAATGGCCAAACTGCTTTTGCTAAAACAAAAAAAAAAATCAGCTGGAGGTGGAAACCTTTAGTTTAAATAGTTGGCAAAGTTGTAATCAATTGGTAAGTGGCTTAGAATGGAAACATTTTTTAGGCAACTTTAACTGTAGTTGCTGCCAGCTCTGATATTCCTTTCCCAAGTTATTTTCTTACTTTAAACTGTAGACCGTTCTGTATCAAATAATAAATTATTACAATATTGGGCTTAATTACCTGGATAGTCTTGTTCTTAGAGTGTGCTTAGATACAGTAGTGGTGGGTAGCTTGGACCTCCCTAGAAGGTTGTTTACAAAAGTGTCTACTCCTTGTCCTCAAACCCTAACCACAAATGTGTTCTGTCTGAGTGATACTGGGAATGACCATTAGAAAGCTGCTTGCTATTCTCACATGTATGTACTTTCATTGAAGGCCATGGATCCAGAGTAAGGGCTAACAGTGTCTAATGCTGTGTAATGCTATATAGCTCTATAAGTGAGCATATTTTTTATTTAGTTTTGCCATCTTCCAAATATTACTGAGGTAGAAAATGTTTGTTTAGTAGAAATTTCACACTTCCTATAACGACTTACCATGGCAGCTCATAGTTCTTATCCTGATTATCCATTTACAGTATGGCAGTGTCAATGAAAGTTGTACAGGTGAGTTGCATCATACGCGCATTTAACTTATGCAAATTCAACTATATGCGCTCGGCAAAAAAAGAAAAATAACAAGATACCTGTAAATAGCGCGGGCGATTCCATCGACCATTCCACTCAATGAGCATATGCCCCGGAGTGAGCGTGAGATGGGAGACATGAATCTGCTGTTCCCTCAGTCGGTCTCAGTTCCTGCTTGCCTCTCGTAGTGTGAGCATCTCGCCACGCTGAGTGTGATTCTAGTGTTTAAAGATACATATTTTTCGTACAACATGGCCCCTAAACTCAAGCCAACTACTTCATCTGGTGCTCAACCGAAGAAACAGCCATCTGTTGCAACGCTGGAGGAAAAACTGGCTGTGTTGGACTTATTGAGAGATGGTATGTTGGTCTCCAACGTGGCGCGTAAATATGGCCGCAACAAATCTAGCATCTGTGCCATCTAGATTCGAGAGAGAGAAATTCTTCAAGCTGTGGCATCAAGTGCTCCAATAACTGCTAAGGTGATGAGCTTGGTGCGTGTTAAGACTTTAGTGAAGACTGAAAAGGCATTAAACTAATGGCTGGAAGACGTGAACTGTAAACGTGTGTTTATCGATGGCAACACGTTGCGAGAAAAGGCTCTTAGCCTCTACACGCTGTTCAAACCTCCTGCTGAAGAGGGACAGCCTTCTGATGAGAAGGAATTCAAAACCAGCCAAGGTTGGCTTAACAGTTTTAGGAACCGCTTCAACCTCAAAAATGTGGAGACTACTGGTGAAACTACATCTGCCAATGAAGAATGATTTAATTTCTGAATACGATCCCTCTATGGAACGAAGCCTCAAAATCACACGTAGTATTATGGATGATTTGAGACCATACCAAGAAATGTTTGAGCAGCTCAAGAGACAACAGCGACAGTTGCCGATCACCATGTTTTTAAAGGAAAAACAACCAGCAGCAGATGAGCCTACGCAATCAACTTCTTGAGCTGAACCAGAGCCAACCACTTCGTCTACGACTCGCTCTCCATCACATCCATCCTCCTGGATCGACATCAAGCCGTCAACCCCCTGTAATTACCCCCCTGTAATTAAAAATACATTACTGTAAAATTATATTTTGCATATGTACTCTTTATACTGTACATTAGTGTATACATTTATACATATTACTGTACAGGGTTGTATACACAAAACCATGTACAGTATACTGTACTTTATGGGCGATTTAAGGGATTTTCAAGGGTAATTTTGACGATACGCAATTTTAGCTTTACGTGCTGACTTTAGAACCTAACCCCCGCGTAAGATGTGACTCCACTGTACATCTACTCCTACCAATATTCAGCAGGTGGTGGAAAAGTTAAGGTCTGAATTTAACTCTAACTACTACAATGAATTTAAAACCACAACTCCAATAGTGGGGAAAATAAAGTGATCTCCGCTGTCGTATTGTCCCATTTGACAATTTTTAGAAAGAGTTGGGTGCTTTTGGAAATCCCATGCCATAAAACTGAGTTAAAAGAACACATCCCATGGCTTTCAACAGCATGTGTGCTCCTACCTTCATTGAGTGCGGGGGAAGTCCAACCCATAACTGTGTACTGTGAGACAGTATCTAATTAGAAAAAAGCTGTTTTTTTCCCCTCTCCTCCTTCAGAACTATGGAGACCACCCAGCCCAGAACCTCTCAGAAGTGCAGTCCTAGCTATCTTTGCTCTAATTCTATAGGGCTCAGAAGGCAGTGGCAGGTCAGTGCAGGGTGGCAGGGAATAGCTGTGCCCTGCAGGAAAGGCTGGTTGGTGACTCTGGAGGTGCTATTCTTCCTTCAGTGTCAGTGCCCCAGCATGGTACTAGGAGCACCCGTCCCCTGCTTCAGGCACAAAACGGAGTTCCTGCCCAAGCCCAGGGTGCTGTCTGTAAGAACAGCATTAACCATACTGTTCCTGTAAAATTAAGGTAATTGTATTCTGCCTTTATCAATTTACTATGTAGTTATGATAGGCTGTGGTATCCTGCCTTCCTATCATGCTGCTCCTCCCGCCATGCTGAAGGGAGTATTCAGCAAAAACTATTCAGTGAACATCAAGGCATTTCCCCATCCTCTGGGCTTTACTGTAGTAGGCTAGTGGTTAGGATGAAAAGCACTACAGCAGCGTATTACTCTATGCTTAGACTGCGTCTAAGTCTCACCACACTCAGTCCTAAACACCTCAGGACAAGTGCTTATTGGGTACTTGTTTAAAAGAAATAATAGGTTTCATGTACCATGGATTAGAATGACAAACTGCAAATATTTAAGTATTAATTAAAGCAGATTTAATGACTATTTAAATACAAAGTCAGCAGATATCTATACACAGCAGTTATACACACAGCACTCCAGTGGCCTGTATCTGTGAAAAGAGGGCCTGATGAAAGAAAGAATCCCTACCCACTAATCACTAAAACAATGGCTCCTTGGTAGCAACAACTACTAAAGGAAACTGGATGGTAGCAGTTGGAGCTGTCTTCCCTCACTGGACCATACCTCATAGCATCTCTTTTTAGATGAAGGGCAGTGTGTTTTGTCATTAACAGCCACATAGCTTAACGAGATCAAATAGATGAAGTGTGAAATAAGGCAGCCAGTGCCACGCTAGGTTGGTTTCAGGCTATGCCTACAGCGAGGTGCTAATGTTGGCAGAGTTAGACTACACTACTGATACTGACCCGAGAGGAGAACAGGGCTATAGCACAGAATCCTACACATAAGCTCATTTTAACCCCACCACTCAGAAGTGATGTGGTGTGCAGAAACTCAGCTCGCCAGTGGTAGATTGGGAGGAGGAACATAAGGTTGTATTGAAGACTTCTGCTGCTTAGGAATTTCAGCAACATAACAGGATCTGAGCCAAAGGCTACTGAAGTTAATGAAAAGATACCTATTAGTTTTAATGGGCTTCCAATCGGGTGCTTAATCACTAAGGGTCTGATCCTGTTTTCACTGATGTCAATGGCAAAATACCCATTTGACAGCAATAGGGGCAGGACCAGGTCCTAAAATAATGGTCCAGGCTGTTGTAGCATAATTAAGTTTATATGACAAATGTAGGTATATAAAATGGGTGGAATGATTGTTATTTGCCAAGTCCCAGCAATATGCTTGGCTCTGTACACACCACAGAGGAAGAAGGCATAGCCTTTGCCCCACAGAGCTTCAAACTAGCCCCACAAAAACAAATGGATCAGACAACTGGAGGAAGCTTAGGAAACAGCACTGTAATTATTAAAATTAGGTGTGTAACAGCACATCTGATGTAGCTGGGTTACACCGTAAGCCAAGACAGACTGAGTTTTAAGGAGGGAATCTGAGCTACTCATAAGTGCTCATTAATTGAACAGTGGATGAAAATTGTTCATTTCTATATCATAAGGGAATGGTAGTTAAAGTCTTAACCCACTGCAACTACGAGTGTATAGCACCTGCTCTGGACACCACCTGCCCTTTGGGTAACTTGTTCCAAGGTGGTGCAGAATTAATCAACTCTATTAATCACATGGGTACCAATGGTGCAAGGTGTTCTGCCTGGCAGCCTCTCACACCCACATGGAGCACCTTCCAGCAATGGAGCCTTGGGCAAAGACAGGGATCCTGCAATTGCTCAAGGGCACTGTCCTCCTCTCAGTGCCCAGACCCAGGGCTCCTTTTACTGCTACTAATGGTAGCTGTTCCCATCAGCTAAGAAGGGATCCTCCCTGTACTGGTCAGGTAACCATCAGTATCCAACAGTGGACAACTGCCCTCTTTCAGCAAGTTTACCATCACCAACCTAGGAATCCAAAAGACCATCCCCTGGATAGGCAGAATCCTTACACAACAATCTGAGCTCTCAATAATAACGATGTCTCCTCACTTTGCAGGGCTCATTCCAACCCACTCCCCTCCTCTTGAGCTGCTAAAACACAAATGAGAGATGTGACTGGAGACAAAGATCCAGAACATAAACTTACTTGTATAGGAAGCTTTAGAGATAGGAATAATTTCTTTGCTATAAATTATGGTTTTGCTGATCTGAGTTCCATGATAAAGTGTTTAAGCAAACTAGTCCCACTCAAAGGCCATGTTAGGGTGGGGGAAATGGAAAGCTACCTCACAAAATAATACATTCCAGTATGTGTCAGACAGGTGAGACTTATTAGCTAAGCTGAACTGGAGCACACAATTTAAATTAATATTCCAAAACCTGTCTGCACTGGTCTCCCATCAGCCAGCCAGTCAATGTGCATTTTATTTGAAGGATCTTCCTCACTGAATCAGAGCAGACCCTGTTCATAAGTTCATACAGGACCTCTGCTTACACCCACTCAAAAATCTTCTGAAATATGCAGATGCTTATAGATCAAGATACTTCAACCTTAGGGCTCATCTTCCAGCATGTGAAGATCTGGTCTGAACTGTGGTGTTCACAAGTGCAGGGTGGGATGGCAGCCTGGAAGCTCCTGGGTTAGATGACATCACTTCCTGTCTAGCTCAGATTGGTACTTCCTGGAGATGAGTTTGAGCTGCTGCTTAGTCTCCCAGCGATTCAGGGAGGCTTGGCTAGGGAGTTTCATGGCCTTTTCCTTCTCCATCTGTTAAAGGACAGGGTACTGGATGAAAACTGATCTATCCCCTCTCATTCCCAATGAACAGTAGAAAATACAGAGATTGCAGCAGCTCAAGATACATCTTTAGAGCAAGGTCAAACTGCTCTCTGGGAATTGCCACAGCTGTAAGAGACAAAGGCTTTGAGATCTGCATACAAAACAAGGTAAGGAGAACTGTCTTTACAAAACAGTTTGGATGAGTGTCGGAGGAGAATAGCAGCAGTCATGGAGAAAAGCAAGAGAAGAAGGCACACTAGAGCCACTCATTTTCAATACAGTTTTTTGGGTAGGAGCTTAATCAGACCTAAAATATAGCTGGAGAGAAGCAGGATATGGAAAATGGAGAGAAAGGGACTCCCTCATTCCTCTCCTGTCTCCACCTGGCTCTAGTAGGTTCAACAAATGTCATCTCCCCACCAAATAAGCACATTCTGTGAAACATCAGCAAGAAGTTAGAGAACTAAACTTCAAAACCTTTGTCCAGGGGCTTACTCCTTTGAGAGTGTTTTCCTGCCCCAAGGAGATGCTAGTTGGGCTGAGAGAGGTGGGGGCTGATGGGAACTGCAGAAATCAACAGGGCTTAAGAAACCAAAATTCTGATTGTCACCTTTAACCTGCTAAAGAAATGAGTTAGGAAACAGGGAAAATTTTGGTCTGAGGTCTGCTCTTCCCCTCGCTTGAGGTGGGGAAGTTTTGTTTGGAGATCACGCCTCTCTGCTCCTGCTCTGCATACAGCAGAACATCACAAAGGGGCAGAGTTTTCTTATAGTTCTCCAGAAACTCTCCTGCCCATGTTATATGCATTCAAACAAAACAGTGTTGGCTTTCTTCTGGCACTGATACTCACCTCTGCATAGGAAACACCTACTACAGTCCTGCATGGCCTTGCTATTACCTTCACTTCAACAGGTGCCAGCACACTTCCTTGCAACAGCACGGCCTGCCTGTACTCATACCATTGCTCCTCTAACATACACAGGGAACTCTACTACAGGCTGTTCCCTGTTCCTCATCCTCCCATTAACTATGCACCTCTACCTTGAAAGTAAAAGCAACTCCCTTATTTACCTCCTTGCCATAGTTCCTTTCACTGGGGATATTCTGCTGTTTGTTTTTCACTAGCTCTAGCTGCAGGCTGTCAAATTTAGATTTGAACCAGTGGTGAGCTTCCTCCAGGTTAGCTGTGATCTGAGGAAGAAAGTAGTGATTAGAGTCAGAAAGAGAACTGTTAGCAGTTTCAACTTCTGGGCTGCACACCAGACAGGCAAGATTTCAAATCCAGACTTCTTTAAATCTCCCACCTCTATGTAAGCATAGAGCACGCCACTTGGCCATCCTGGCCTCCTTCCTACAACATGGTGGAGGGGGTGGAAAGGTCCACACTGCACTGCTGTTACCCCCTTATTGAGTAACTAATGGGCCTCTCATTGGCACTAGCCCAAGAGAAAACAATTCTAACTAGAGGGAAAAGCATCAAGAAGTTGGTAGAGGAAGAGAGTAAAATGGAGGCTAAATACAGCAAACCACAGAAGAAAGAGGGGAGAGAGCATGGCCTTTGCTTGGCAATGTGCTGGCACCAGGATCATTTAAAGAATGACAAATGCTGTAAAATTAGCAAGTTATTTCACATCCTGTGTTAGCAAGAACTCTTGTTAAGGACAATCCTATATGCAGATCATAGAATCGTAGAATATCAGGGTTGGAAGGGACCTCAGGAGGTCATCTAGTCCAACCCCCTGCTCAAAGCAGGACCAATCCCCAACTAAATCATCCCAGCCAGGGCTTTGTCAAGCCTGACCTTAAAAACTTCTAAATAAGGCGATTCCACCACCTCCCTAGGTAACGCATTCCAGTGCTTCACCACCCTCCTAGTGAAAAAGTTTTTCCGAATATCCAACCTAAACCTCCCCCACTGCAACTTGAGACCATTACTCCTTGTTCTGTCATCTGCTACCACTGAGAACAGTCTAGATCCATCTTCTTTGGAACCCCCTTTCAGGTAGTTGAAAGCAGCTATCAAATCCCCCCTCATTCTTCTCTTCTGCAAACTAAACAATCCCTGTTCCCTCAGCCTCTCCTCATAAGTCATGTGTTCCAGTCCCCTCATCATTTTTCTTGCCCTCTGCTGGACGCTTTCCAATTTTTCCACATCCTTCTTGTAGTGTGAGGCCCAAAACTGGACATAGTACTCCAGATGAGGCCTCACCAATGTCGAATAGAGGGGAACGATCACGTCTCTCGATCTGCTGGCAATACCCCTACTTATACATCCCAAAATGCCATTGGCCTTCTTGGCAACAAGGGCACACTCTTGACTCATATCCAGCTTCTCGTCCACTGTACCCCCTAGGTCCTTTTCTGCAGAACTGCTGCCTAGCCATTCGGTCCCTAGTCTGTAGCGGTGCATGGGATTCTTCTGTCCTAAGTGCAGGACTCTGCACTTGTCCTTGTTGAACCTCATCAGATTTCTTTTGGCCCAATCCTCTAATTTATCTAGGTCCCTCTGTATCCTATCCCTACCCTCCAGCGTATCTACGTCTTCTCCCAGTTTAGTGTCATCTGCAAACTTGCTGAAGGTGCAATCCACGCCATCCTTCAGATCATTAATGAAGATATTGAACAAAACCGGCCCGAGGACCGACCCTTGGGGCACTCCAATTGATAAGACTGCCAACTAGACATGAAGCCATTGATCGCTACCCATTGAGCCCGACAATCTAGCCAGCTTTCTATCCACCTACTACTGCTACAAAGTACTGTGCAGTTTGAATTTAAAGGACCTTTGTTACTTACTCCCTTACTTATCCTGGAGACCTCCCTTGTGAAATAACTACAGTACTGTACAATTTGGAACCAAATTACTGTAACACTTCTTTAAGGTATTGTGCTTTGGACTTCTACTGTTTAATACCATCGGCTTTCAATAAGCGATGAGGTACATGGGGAAATGTGACTCACCTTTAAAAGAGGTGGTTTGGAGTAATGTCATTCAAAATGGTACAATATAGCAGCTCACACTGCTTAATGGAGAGGACAGATGTGCAGGTGTTTTAAACTTGTCAACACGCACAAGCCATTGAACCAGGTGGAAACTGACAGACATGGAGAGAACTTCCTCTTACAGGCCTAACTAAACTATAATAATTTGTATAGGAGACTGTTAAGAGCTCTAACAGAAGAAGGGCCTGGGATAAGCACTAGCCAATGACCATGGGGAGAAATAGACTGTGGCTGCACCTTACTTCCCACCTCATCAAAGGCTTGTTCTTAACACTTAAAGGGCCTCCCAGTGCATGTCCCACAAACAAATCTTGTCATCCCCAAGGACGGATAACTCTTGCTTTGTACCAGAGGATCTCTTCTTTCCCACTGTTGTACTCACCTGTTCCGATTCTACACTGGCTTCTTTCAGTTTCTGCTCAGTTTCCTCTTTGCATTTCTTCAAGTGTTTGACTGTATCATCTAGCTTCTGGAGAGAGAAAAATAACACCCAGACCCTCTCTATTTTGCTCATACAGGAATTAACACAAACCACTTCTATATAACAGAATGAGCAGGAATCTGGACTGGAAAGTTTTGGTAGAATAACTCCCAGCCCATAGGTCAAATATTCAGTTCCATAAAAGCCCATGCCATACATTGCTGTCCATGCTCCAATAAACAGCTATAAAGAGAAGTTATAAAAGCCCCCTTGGCATGGGAATGAGCACCCACCACTGGTAATAGGACCCTACAGTTATGGCCCAGCAACATGCTCAGGGGCAATAAGCATTCAGACTCCAGGACAGGATCATGCAGCTCAGCACGGATCATACTGTATTTCCAAGGCTGTGAGCATTTTACCTGACATTGGTTCTCTAGCTGCCGCCGCACTTTCTGCTCCATTTCCAGCTGGGCCTCCAGCTGCCTGTTCCGTGTTGCCACTTCATGCTGGTTTTTGGCCAAGGTCTGCATCTCACTCTGAAGACTTGTTAACTCTGTCACGAATTTCTGGATGCTCTGTGACTAGAGATGGCATGGAAGTGAGATCTCAGTGACCACATGCAGATTCTAATCTAATGGAAAGGGGAAGTTGTATAGTGAGCTCCCACCTGCTCATAGTTTTTTTTCTGATACTGCTCCTTGATCAGCTCCATTTGCCTCAGCTCAGATTCAATCTCCTGAAAATAATTTTAAATGAAAGGAGGAAGCTCCAGTGAAATTGTTTAATGTGACAGAGCTTGGGCTGCTCCAAACGTCATCCTTACTGTGTGACTGAGATTTGGAGTAACACATGCTCTGCTGGGGACAAGCAGGCAGCAGAGTGGCATTCGAGCCCAGCACAGAGGATCTTCAATAAGACAGGGAGAGGGAGGCACAAGCACCCAGCAGTGTTCTACTGACTGGAAATCACTCATTTATAAAAGGACACAAAGGCGGCCAGAAGCTGTAGGCCCTTCCCTTCAGCATGACCTATTGGCAAAAAGATGCCTTATCCAATCCACTGAACTGGGAAACAAAGGACTACCGTGAAGTGATCTGTCAAACTATAGAGTGATTCCATAGCAAAAAGAGCATTTAATGTAGGGAAAAAAAGACACAAAAGACGAGCATTTCCCAGCTGTTACTGACACTATCAGACTCCTACTGGCACCAGGTTTTTTCCATACCAGTGGCAGTATCCTGGCCTGGCCCCACTGCAGTGACAGCAGTAGTTCTTCCCATTACGAGGAGAGATGGTGTATGAACGGGGTTTTTCAGAGTGAAAAGGTATCTGCACAAACCTTTATCCTCTCTGTGTTCTGGATGTTGTTAGTTTTGGAGGCCAAGTAGTGTCTGATTTGAGCTCTTTGGCTCTTTAGCTTCCCCCTGTAACTGACCAGGGACTTTTCCAACTCCATTATTTTCTGCCGCAGCTCCCTGTTAGCCCGGGACACTTCAGCAGATTTGGAAGAAGCCTCTTCCAGGGCTTTCTTCAGCTAGGAGGCATATAGAAGAGGTTAGTTCATGTTCATCCCCAAAAATGTCTGGCTAGGGTAATCAGAGACATGTATTTCCTGTGAATATCACCAAGAAGAGAGTCTCTGGTAAGTAGCTGGTAAGCTGGATCTTCCAGTTATTCATAGGGAATGAAAGAATACACAGGTTAACCTCTGGGTTTCTGAATACTTCAAGGTCAGAGGACACAGATGATAGAAAGAATATAGCCCATGACAGACCAAAGAAGCAGAGACCACTGTTTTACTGCCTCTTCTCTTCCATATACCATGTTTTTATGACAAGGATTTTGCAATAATTGGAGGCTGCTATCAAACATCATACAACCTTCAAACTATAGCCTTTTGGTCCTTCCTGGAAACCATATTCTAATTAATCTTTGGTTTATTCCATAGGCCTTAGAGGGAAATACAGTTAGGTTTGCACAAAAAACAAAAGGGGAGGGACAGATGTGATAAATACATCACTAACTATGCTACAGCCACCAGAGCATCACTTTGTCCACTGCAGGCCAAAACTCTCTTATGTTGCTACCAAGTGATATTGCAACACAAAAGGGGGACAAGAAGTGTCATAGATCACTTTTGTTTTCTTATTGTTGGGAAGCAGAGCTCTTCTCGGGAAACTGATCATGGAAGGAATCTTGCAATTCTGCCCCTCCTCACCTCAGCAGATTCCCTGTGACCTGCTTTCCTTGTAGCCTCTCGCTCGGTCTGAAACTGCTTCTTCAAGGACTCCAAGCGTTCGGTATACAGCTTTTCTTCCATTGTGGCTTCTTCAATTAGCTGCTCCCTTTCAGGAAAGAAGGAAGACAAAAGCTATAGGAAATAAACCATACTGAGTGAATTCATAAACACTACAAGTGGGAAGACCTGGCCACAAAAAGAAAACAGCAAGAAAAAGTGATGGTCCAAAAATATTTTCTGTGCTTGGGTGGGCCTCATTTTGCCACATTATGTGCGCCATGAAGATTTGACTTAGCTTTTGAAGCATGGCAGTCCAGGAGGCCAGTTCAATTTGTTCATTCAACTGCACGTTCAGCACATTTATTTCCTCAACAACAGCTCCAAACAGAAATACAAGACAGATTCTCCTTGTCTGAGGGAGGCTTTCCTCTTAGAGCCAGCAGGCGTCTGCTCTAGGCCAGCCTGCAGAGTTCTCCCAGGAGAATGAGGCGGACTGCTCCAGCTCATAACATTCCTCAACTCCTATCAGCAAGCAGCCTGCAGTTCCCAGGAGGCAGACTCCTTCCCCGCCCCCATCCCCTCCTGGCAGTACAGGAACAACAGCCATATTGCAAGGCTGTCAGTGGCAAGTGCTGCCAGCCACGCGGGCATATTCACTCAAACAGCAGAATAGTGCTCCTGCATTCTGGGCTGCGCCACACATACAGCCCAGAGGAAAGACTGGGCTCCATTTGCAGCCTTCCAATACTGCAGAGGAGCCTGGAGAAGTCACTGCATCAGCAGGCAAACGGCTCGTTCATGAGGGCTATGTACCAGTCCATCAATCCACCAAGCTGCTGGCTCAACAGCCACACCACAGAGATTGTTGCTGCAACTGACAAAAGCATGGAAAGGGCCACAAGCTCTGCAGCTAGAAATGGAAAAGCAAAGTGTTCCTCAGCCACGGCACCTTGCACTTGTTCTTACCTGCAGGCCATCAACTGCTGATGCTCAATTTCTTTCCTGTTTATTTCTTCCTGAGTATGTATCAGCTTGCTCTGCAGGGTACTATTGGCCTGCAGAGCTTGTTCCAAACTCAAAGCAAGCTTCTTGTTGTCTGCTCTAGCAACTTCTAGTGCTTTACAAAGTGGGTCCACCTCAGGGGTAAAGAGAGAGAGATTTAATTTATATTTAATTGAATGAGAAGAACTTCTATAAACACTCCTTCCCTCACCAACTCCCCAGTAAGAACAGAAGGGATCTTTTTCCCAGTCAGTGTCAATCTGCTCGACTAGAACTCTGGCAAATACAAATGGTGTGTTAGCAGCCTCTGCTTAATGCTATCGATTGTGGGCAACTGGTGGCCTGTGGGAAGTCCTTAGACTCAATTTCAGAAGACCAAGCATCACATCCTGCTTTCCATCAAGGCTTCACAAGACAGCAAACTTCCTTCCAAGTGAAGGCTGTCCATGGTAGACATAACCATGACTGACACTAACAACTGCCCTGTCTATATTAAGGGCAAAATTGTCTTTAAGTGTTAGGTTTTAAAACACAATTCTATTTTGTTTTAAGTTTCTCCTGGTATAAATGGTGTAAAACTTCCTTTCTATAATCTCCATAAAATGATCTACCCCAGTGTTTACAGATTTTGCCTTGTAAGTTTCCTGGCAGGTACTCCCCCACATTCCATCTTCCAAAAAAGCAGGATGGTTCAGTACCACAGAACTAATCCAACCTGTTATCATTGGAAAAACTTGGTCTCTACCTGACTATTGTGCTGAGTTTCTATGACAACCATTTTGGCCTGGTGCTGTTCCAATTCTGCCTCTAATTTCTGGATTTTTTGTTGGCTCTGGGTCCTGCAAACAAAAGGAGAGAGAGAGAATAAATCAATCAAGGGGCATGGTTAACAGCAAAGCTACCTATACATTCTTCTCCCCTGTAGAACGGAGGTCGTATCACAGTTTTCTATTTTCAAAGTATCTCGTTTGGACTGGAACTGAATTTTAATTTCGGTCAATCTTCTCTCTCAACTCCCAATTTCTTCCCCCTCTGATGCACACCATGAAATGATGAATTGGCTTCAGCCACAGCTATCATACCATTTGGTGTATTCCCAAGCAGCATATAAAGGTAGGCCAAATGACATTAATGTTAGCTCTAGGCATCCAAGATCAGTTTTAATTTTATAGCATCATCCAGTTCCCAGCACAATGATTTGCTGTGCAGCAATGTACAGCTATCTCCCATTCATGAAAATCTGCCACACAGGGATTGCTGGCCTATAGTATAATGACTGGCATTATATACATGACTGACAGGAGTTGCCTGCCTATAAATACCATTGTAAATGTGACTGGCATGCTTCATTGGCTCACATCACAACTGTAATTACATGTTCTGCCAACTCATCAGTCTGAAACTTTCTTTTACAACTAACACAGAGTCCACAAACATAGGGAAGAAAGTGTTGCAAATTCTCAGATATCTTTGATCTGTGAGATTTTGGGCCAGGATGTTAACTGGTTCAAACAAGAATAAAAATCACAAAAAATACAGAATAAATTCTGTTCACACAGGAAATAGAGCAGTCTTTCCATGTGCTAATCAAGTTAGATCAGAGACAAAAATACAGTTAATGTGCTATTTACATTTACACTACAATCTCCTCTCTGCTAGATGCCTATATAAGATCCTATAGGGATTAATAATCAGATATTGGCTTTATAATAACAGAGCACTATACCTAAAATTTAAAACAAGCAACAGGTACTACACAAAGACAGACAAATTGCAGGGTATGTGCACCCGGAAATTTGCAGAGATACTCAAGGAGTTATGCCTCAGTGGGGAAAAATTTTATATGTTAGCAGGGATCGGCAACCTTTCGCATACAGCCCGGTCAGGGTAAGCCCCTGGAAGGCTGAGCCGGTTTCTTTACCTGCTGCGTCTGCAGGTTCAGCCGATCGCAGCTCCCGCTGACTGCAGTTTGCCGCTCCAGGCCAATGGGGGCTGCGGGAAGCAGCGCAGGCTGAGGGATGTGCTGGCTGCCATTGGCCTGGAGCAGTGAACCGCGGCCAGTGGGAGCTGTGATTGGCCGAACCCGCGGACGCGGCAGGTAAACAGCCCAGCCCGGCCCGCCAGGGGCTTACCCTGATGGGCTGCATGCCAAAGGTTGCCGATCCCTGAGTTACAAGTATTAAAACAGTCTGTAGAAGGTTTTTGGATGTTGATTCCCACTATCCCCAGTTATAAATCCCTACACATGACTAACTTCTGGAGATATTTTTATGAAGTCTTGTGCAACAGGCACACTGCACTTAATGATAGTTGGTTAACAGAGAAGGCAGTGTATTCTCAACTGCAACCCTTACAGAACTGATCATGTGTACATGAGGGGCAAATCAACTAGTGCTATGCCTCCATTCTTCCAATATTGCAGAAAAAACTAACTGCAGGGATTATAAAAACAAACTGGGTTCACTGGGAACTACCTTATCTGGTCCCATATAGTCTGCTTACTTCCCAAAAGGCAGATAATCATCTTGAGCCCTAGGGAAAGAGTCGGTGATCAAGCCATTCCCTGGCCTGGCTTGTCTAGTTTTTCACAACATTACAGATACTGAGAGTCGCAAAGAGTTTCAAGCACAGTTACCTGTCTTTTCTGAGCCCTGTGATCTCAGAATCCTTGCGTCCCAGCTCAGTTTGCACCTTCTCCAGAGCTGCCTGCATCCTGCTGTGAGAAGCCAGCACATTCTCCAGGACAGATGTCACCTTGTCGTTATCCTCCTTTGCCTCCTGTAGCTGGCGCTGTAAGTTTGCCACCTAAAATACAAGAAAGCAGGCAGAAGGGGGAAATTGGTTAACTTCCAATAAAGACTACTTTGATTATACTCTTCATATAAATCATAAGTAGGCTACACCCCTGCAGGCTCAGGGAAGATCGGTCTTGTCTTTGTTGTATTAATTTAGATGGAATATATGGGCCAAAGGTGTTAACATAACTCAGTCACTGTCCAACATTAAACAGTTTTAAACAGAGATTTCAGCCTGCTTAGTACCATGGCAAACACACAATTGTTTCCTTTCCCTTTAGTTAGGAGTTTTTTAGAAGGAAAAAACCGTTGTCTGATAGTTTTTTAGATGGTATTAAAGATGGTAATAATTGTCCTTTTGGGGAAAAGAAAGAAGTAAATAGAGATGGGTATGAGCAGTTGTTCTTCTTGTTGTTAAAGTCCAGTCCCACTATCTAAAAGATAAAATAAGACACACACACAAGGAGAGAAAAAAGAACAGCAAAGATAGAAAATGAAGTTTCTGTCTCTGTTATTGACTTTCACTTGTAATTTCACTGCTGGAAAAACACAGGCACAGTACATGGTCTTATCCACTCCGAGACCTAGCAAACTTGTACCAGCATGAGGCTATTTAGGAGGGCATTGCATTTAGCTGCCTCTTTCTGGTCACAGGCTTTCCACTATGTTACAAAATATAATCTTGGCCAGATAAGCCAGAGTTTTATTAGGCAGAAGGAAAAAGGAGGGGTGTTAGGAAAGAAGAAATAAGGCAGGGAAGGAAAAGCACCTACTTTTGGGCGGGGTGGGGAGAGGAAGTCTCACATCCCAAGTGGTATTTGGGATTCTGCTGGAGCTAGTGGCAGTGTCACCTGGCTCCCTCTCTCTGGCCTGGTCAGGACATCTTTCAGGATCAGGATGACAAAGTCCCAAGAGACGGTGAGAGTGGCAGCCAGTAGCCAATTTTTCTTTCTAAAGTCACTTTCTTAAGGCCTCCAAAAAGGAGTGGTTAATGGACTAATTCAGTCTGTCTTTTGTACCTTTTCCCATATAAACATTTGTTATGATTTGTGACATCTTATGAACTTTCACTTACTATTTATAGTTTACCTCACAATTAGGGTAAATTTATAGGCCCAATTATCACAACATCTCCTTCAGCCTGTATTTGAAGGTATGCCGGGAAGAGAAAAGTTCTCCAGAATTCCTCTCCATTTCCCACCCTTCCTTTGGTGTAATCATCAGAGGAACCTGTCATTCTGGCTAAGGAGGGCCAGCCCTAACCCATGCAACTTTACCAACACTGGTTGAACATGCTGCCTTTGTGGCGTTCAGTTCCCATCAGCATAGGGAACGAGCGAGAATGGAATACGAACTCTAATAGCATGTTGCGGTATTGTCCACTATGAAGTCCACACGGACTATGTTTTATCTGCCAGACTCTGATTTGCACCCTTATTCAAAGGTTTAGGGCCCAACATTAAAGATAAAATTGGGGATTCCTCACACCCATTTTAAGTAAGTGTTAACTCCACTGATTTCAAGATAACTCCTGACTTACAATGATGTAAGAGGAGAATCAGGTCCCAATTGCTGATACAGAACTTTCTAAGTAAATATTAACCCCTGGTAACCCCCTGTATGTTGCTGGCATCAACTGCCTACTTCATCAATGGCCATCAGTTGAAAGCATAATACTGCAAAACATTATACAGGATTGTACAGCACCTTGAGACTCAGGAGTCAGTATTCTACACACATTCCAGAACCAGTGTTGGAGCACTGTTGTCCATGTAGACATCAACCGGCTAATAAGACTTATGTTGAAGTTTAAATTTGCTGTGCTGGAATCTGAGCCAGGCTATAGCAGATTTGTCTCCTTTAAAAAAAAACCTGTTTCCTTGCCTTTTGCTTCTCCCTCTCTTCCATGGCTTCCATGTGCCCCTTAATTTTCTGACTCTCTCGCAATGCCTCATCACGGGACTTGATTGCCATAGAAAATTCTTCTTCTTTGTGTTCAAGGGTGGTCTGTGCCTTTGCAAAGAGACAGAGGAAGAGGGTGAATTCTAGTTTTCCAAATCACAGGAATTGGTTCTAATAGTTTACAATTTAAGGTGGTGAAGGGACTTTACCAGTGAAATGGTCCAGATGTCCTAAAATCTAGACACCTTGATTTGGTATTTAGAACAAGAGATTTTATTTTTCAAAACAAGCATTAGAAAGAAACTGCCACCCCTCATCCGGCCTTGGTGAGGGAGATAAAGAGATAGAACTGGAAACTCCAACCCCAGTAGGGGCTGCAGTACTTTCCTTCATGGGGCATTAAACCTCTTTTTGACTTTATGAAACAAAGATCCAATATTTCCCTCAGAATCCAAGCTTTAAATAAATTAAACATGAGTAGCAGTGAAACAAGCATATGTGTTTTCTGCTGAATCTATTGATAGGATTTATTTCCTTGGTTTTATTTTTAGAGAATATTCTTCTAGTTTAATGGATTTTTAAATATTTGTTACCCTGTCCAGAGTCCTAGGTGCTTTATCAATAGTCATTACAGTTTCTCACTGCAGATCAATCATTCTCTCATTTTAGTGCATGTTACTGTTTGTTACATTTATTATCGTTAGAGATCTGCAAAATAACATCTGACAAAATTAAAATCAGATGAAATAAGAAATTCAGACTAAGCAAGAAAAGAGCCACTGCTCACTAATCCCCCAGTAAACACAATCCTTATAATCCACAGTTTGTAATAGAGAGGAAGGAGGGACAAGTCAATTGTTTGCAAAATCCAAAGGCCACTTTAAACACAAATAGCTAACATTTCATGAGACTCCCCTGGATATTGCCAGCCATAACTATAGCTCTAGGCATAGGAACAAGTCTCTAGGTATACTGCTTGTTTTAATATTAAAAGAGAACACAAAATAGGTAATTCAAAAAGAGATGGCAGAAAGGAAGAGATTTTAGCCAAACTCCTGACATATTGCCCAAAAAATGGAAACCAGAAGCAGCCATTTATATTTTTGGAATAAAAAATAGTAACTTTTAGTGACGTCCTCTGGGTATCAGGTACACAATATTCTCCAATCTCTGCTTGCCAAGAAAAAAACAACAACTTTAAGACAAAAATACTTGGCTTTCTCAAATCAAAGGTGATCTACTTTGTGTCACCCAGGGTAACTCAAAGTTTGTTTCTACTCTGTTCCTTGAAACTTCCATTTGTAAATCAGGTTCACAGCTTCTCAGCTGGATTACCAAGATAAAATTTAGAACACAGAGGGCTTCCTTTGTCCCAATCCCATTATAAACCAAACCTGATTATTGTCTTCCAACAAACTAAATATATAGCATCAGTCATATGGCCTTTTTACATCAACAGTTCAGACAGACCACAACTACATTATCTCAAGTCTAGAATCAGAAACACTTTCAGTCTGAAAACTTTGTCTTGTATCTGGACTTCATTAACTGAGCCTGCACCTTTCTACACAAGAAGCTCCCAAAGACACCCGTATTTGGTATTTTCCAGTATTTCCTCATTTTCGCTAACAATTTAATTATTAGTGCCCCAGAAACTCCCTTAAGTTTTCATCGTCTAGTTCAGAGGTGCCCAACCCTATTACACAGGAGGGACACATAAACCTAGGTACAAACTTGTGCGGGCCAAACAGATTCTACATATTTTAATAAGATTTAAAGTCACCTGTATTGATTTATATTTTAAGTTCAGCTGCTTTCATGTGTATTTGGATAGGTTATTTCAATATACAGTATTATCTGTTTATACATTTGTGTAAACTAAAATGATGCACACATGATGATAAAATGCTAATGAATTGGCCGTTAGTAGATTGTATTGAAACAGGCCATGGGCCTTATGAAATGCTTTGGTGGGCCGTAGGTTGGGCACCCCTGCTAGTTTGTTTCGAAGTCTTCACTCACCATCAGGAAATCATCTTCACTAAATTCTGCAGACCATTCAGCTTTCAATAGCCTTGGAGTGAGGATGTCTATTTTACTCTCCAATCTTTCCTCCATGGTCTTAATAGCATTTAACAAAGTCCTCAGAGAGATTCTAGGACAGTCACCACATTCAGAAGCAGACTTCCTTGAATGTAGATCCGGCATGAAATGAACCCGGTGTGAAGGGCAATGGACAGTAGAAACATGCGATCCAAAGCCTGCAGCTCCCTCTCCCAAACCACCCTTATCTGACCTAATGTAATGAACACTGGGCTTCTGCTGCCAGGGCCTCTCTGGGGATTTCCTTCTTTTTGGTGGCATTGTTGCTACAAAACAAACCAATCAGTCCAAGTAGATAGAGATGGGTAGGAGGAGGGAAAGAGGAAGAAATAAAGAAAACCAGAAGAGCACACAGTAAGGTAACAAACTACCCACAAAATGTCTATCCCACTGAAGACACAACAGAGGCCACACTCACAGATGCTGCATCTTATTCCTGCACTGCATTACTTTATAAAGCCCTTATAAGCCATTTTAAAGCATCATTTACTACTTCTGATTAATCCGAGGGTTTTTTTCAGTTTTCTTTCCTAATACTTTGCAAGACTAAATTTTCCACAGCAACTTATCCAGGGAAGCTAAATCAGTGTGGTTTCCTTTCATAGCTTAGTAGCACTGAGACATCACTTTTCACCAGTACAGCATTAGAACTATATGCAATGTCGCTATGCCTTTCCCCTTCTTATCATACTATATACTGTGACCTCACCGAGCAGAATGTAACAGCTCACCATCTGGAACTTAATCTTGCGTCATGTGAGGCAGAACATTCTAAGGGTTCTATTCATGACTCTGCCAATCTCTTGCTCTGAGACCTTTCTGTGTCTCCATTTTTCCCCTATCTGTAGAATGAAGATAATATTAAGTTATCTTTGTAAATTGCTTTCCCAAAGTTTGAGGGCATTCGGATAGTGGATTTTGGTGTGGATCTATGGCTTCCATAACCACAGTGTCAGACTGTCTCACAATCTTTAAAATATCTGTTAGAGCTATTTGGGAATTGCTTGATGAAATATTTGTCAAAAAATTCCAATTTATCAAAAGTGAAACTTTTTGCAGGAAAGGGTTAAGTTAGATGAATTTTTCAAATCAGTTTTAGAAAAAAAATGGAAAATTCTGGTTTTCAAGTTCAAAACAACTTTTGATTTTCTAAACATTTTGAGTGCCCCAAACCAAATTTTTGTTCTTGGATTTTTGGTTTATGAAAATTTGAGATAGTCATCCCAGTTCAGGATGGGAAAATGTTTGTTTGACAAGTAAACACTTTTCTGCCCAGCTCCAGTATTTATCCCCCCTGACATCCCTGTGAGGTAGGGCAGTGTTATAGGTATGACAGCTAGATGACTTATTTGCCCATGGGAGGTAAGTGGTAGGGCAGGGAATTGAACCAAGGCCTACTGCACTACAGGATCCCATCCTAATCACTGCTGCATCCTGCCTCTCTAATGTGTAGTGCAAGCTATCATGGCACATACTATCTGTTGGTTACCAGACAGAACTTATAAATTTGCATATCCTGCAACTTAAGCATTTTTCTTCACCCCTTTAGGAGCTCTCCAGCCCAACAGAACACACTTTAAGGCAGTTACTGTAAACTGTAATTTTCTTTAAGAATCTAAAGGATTTCCTTCTCTGACCAAGAACTAATTTGCAATATTAAACTGGCACTCTCAGACTTCTGTTTCTTCTCAGACACCCAAACAAGACTAGCAGAAAACATGGCCCAGTGCACCAAATAAAACCTGCAAGCTCGGTACCTCTGCCCAGTGCAACATAACCCCTCTTTGTGCTGTTCCTAACAAGACTGAATAAGTGATCTAGATCAAATTAGGCTGAACATTCACAGCCTTTTGCCTTTTCCCCTCCCAGAAAAGCAACCAAATAACCTGTGACAATGTATACTCTCTACTGTGAGCCAGGAATAGACAGACATGAAAATTCCTACAATCCCACCGATTTAGCAAGTTCCAGCCCTAAACACACACATTACATTTGCTGGAAAACAGCCTTGTTGTTTTGGTACCTGCTTCAGCTGAGCTTCCATCCTTTGCATGTTAATCTTGACAGAGCCAAGTTCTATATTCACCTGTAATTTATAATAGTAAAAGTTAGTATTAAGCTATTGATGTTCTTGAGGGGAGCAGTTTGACTCCAATGCTGAGAAGTGAAGAATCCTCTGAGTTTGATTGTACCTGAGTATATTTAGTCTCTAAGGCTGTATTCAGCTTGCGAAGGTGGCTGTTCTCTGAATGTGCATCTGCAAGAGATTGCAGTTCTTCCCCCAGCTGCTGTACTTTGGTCTAAAGGAAAAAGCAGAGACAAAGTCAGCATACATCTCACTGCACCTATTTAGTAAGTGAAGAGAAGGAATGAGCTTGAGACAGCCAGAGAAGCAGAGAGAGAGAGAGTTTGTAAAACTAAAAGAAATTAACACTGAGCAAAGTCTCAGAATATGAGGAGCAGCAAGAGAGTCAATTTATCTTCACATAAAGGCAAAATTAAAACAGGATGAATCATTTTAATATAAAGCTCAGTATAGTGTCTTGTCCCCTCACCTATTACTATCATCAGTATATTTACGAGTAATTCTAGCTCACACATTTACCTCTCCAAGGTAGCTCAGAAGATTAAGAAAAGAAATGGCTTCTTCAATAAGCTTGCAGTCTCAGCTTGGGGAGCTAATGCGCAAACACCGCACAGCTTGGCGATAGCTCTTTGCTACTTAGAGACTAGTGTGCTCCTGTGTGGCCAAAAACTCTCCCCACACAAAGCTAGTTGATGTACAGTTGAATCTAACAATGAGACTAACAACAGGAACCACAAAACATAAGTGGCTACCAGTCTCCTAACATCAGGCCTTCTGTTGCAGGAAAGAACCTCCTTGACGCAATCCAGGAGATACTACAACTGCCACTTTTCAAAGATATACAGGCGGTGTTTTGCCACCAACTCATCAATAAAAGACCAATATGGACTTTGTTACCGACCATCTCATCACATTGTGGTGAGCAGAATGGGAACAAGCTGCTCCCCCTGTAAGAAACTCCTCCCTCAACACTCAGCGCTTCACAAGAGACTCCTGGCCTCGAGTTGCCATGCTGTCTCTGGTGCAAACTCAACCATTTCAGATGTGGTGTGCAGCAAATGACCACCCCTGCGGACTCAGGAACAGCCCTCTGTGTAGCTGCAGTGAGGCTGAGAAAACTGTACACCTATGAATAGCGGCTCATCTCGTGCTGGTCTATCAGGACTTTAAAGCCTCCACAAGGCTGCCCCCAAAGCTACAATGACTAAAGCATGTGTAATGCCTACCTAAGCCCTTTTGACACTTCTAACATTTTTTGTTTTTCATCTCTTACTTCCCTATGTTATATTTTTAAAACTTTTCCCATCTTTATTGTACCACTTGTGCATTCACTAATAATAATAATAATAATAATAATCACCACATGTAGCAACACAAACAAACATGCAGCTGTCTCACCATGTAAATAGCCACCATTCTCTCCACTGGCCCCTTCTATGCTGTTTTTTCACAAGCACGCCAAAATCCATGCACCCCTTTCCCAAATTCTAAGGCACCCATCCGCAACTCAGAAATGAAAGTATCTCGCTTTCACCATCCCCTTCTATTATGCACTTACTTCAATTTTATTTATCTATATTTATAACCATGCTGTCTGGTCCCTTCTTATTTTACTCCTTGGAATAATCTGCTTATCCAAGACACTCCAAACTCCCAAGCTTTCTTTGAGGGTTTCTAAACATGCATGTTGCTTTAGAATGCTCCCCTTTCCTTCCTCGTTACTCAATGATTTTCAAACATCCTATGACTTGTTTACCCGGAATCCTATAGCTGTAATAAGTGAGGCATCTCAACCCAGTCTTTTACCTAAAGGCAATAAATGGTCTGACGAGGATCAAAGACAGTTTTAAATCCCGAACTACTTAAAAATATCTGGCAGCTGTTGCACAAATGACATCTGCAGAAGGAAATACAAGAACTTCCTTCCAACTGTAATAGTGAAGATGTGGTTAAATAATCCTGGATCAGCTGGGTAGAAGGATTTCTGAACAAACTTATATAAAGGCAAAAATCAGGTACCTGAAGCTTTCCTTTGTCGTAGGCCAGTTTATTTTTACTGTCAGTCAGCTCTGCTAGAACCTGTTCGACCTGCTGTTGAGCATACTGGGAAAACAAGAGCAGAAGTCACCCTCTCCTAGGAAAAACAAGCCAAAATGGACTTGGGCTTCAGCATCTTGTTTCTCCCTGAGGTTTAGCCCTTTTCCCCTTCAAGTTTTAGCATTACCTTTGTCCTCCTGTTTTGTCCAGATTTTCATTTAAAAATGAACAAGAGGTCTCACCAAGTGAAACAACAGAGCAGCAGAAAAATGTAATTGTACCACCTTGGTACTAAGCCACCTCAGTCTATAGGAAGAAGCCGGCATACACTGGTTCTCAACCATCTAGACCAATCCCTGGATCACAGAGCCTAACCTCAAGCACAGGCAGCAAGAAAGTGAATGGCAGAAGAACCTGTCCTCTGGCAAGAGGGAAAGGAGAAGAAAAGGAATTGGCAAAGGAGAGAGAGTGGGGGAGGCAAGGGGATTAGGGGAAAAAAATGTTTCAGAGTGAGAGAAGGTACCAGAAGGAACACAGAATGGGAAAATTATGGAGATGAACTATTTTTAAGCTTCAGAACATTCTGTTGATTCATACCCCTATAATGGGTGACTAACTATTGTGAAGCTAATTTTGTGTGTGGAGGGGAGATGGTAAATAAACTGTCACTTTTTATATTCTAACTTTAAAGAACTTAACTATCTTATAAATAATTTTGAACACCACGTGACAGACATTCAGAAGCTGTTTCAGCTGAATTTTCTCTAGCTTCCTGATTTGAGGACCTATTTACAATGAAGTTTTCTGAAAGTCTCACGTTGACACAACTAGAGTAGACAGTTTTTACTACCATGAGATCTGGACCTGCTCAGTACCGTTGGAGGACACAGTGGTAAAAACTCTGCAGCTGGTCTCCACTAACACTTCCACTGTTTCTAGTACTGGTCACGTTTCAGTGCTAGAGCAATAGTGAGAGAGGATAGGAAAAGGACAGCAGAAATGACATCTCAAAGTACCAACAGAAGTGTTAGCCAGATACAAATCAGTTATCGTCTATCTTATGGTGTATATAGGCTAAAGTCCCACCTATACTACATAATGGAACAGAATACTCATGGGAAAATCCCTGATATAGTTGTACTTCAGGACTCCATGGGTACATACTCGGGGTGACTAGTTGGAGTCACTGCCCATGCTACCCCGGCTACATGGCTATTTTTAGCACTCTAGCTCGAGGAGAGCTAGCAAAAGTACATCAACACAAGTTTGGAATCACACCCCTAACTCCAAGTGTAACCCATAGCATAAGTGGTCCCTTCAGCTACTTATAAATCCCCCCCACACAGCATGAATACTTTTCACCCTTTAACAAATTCAAATGGAAACTTGAAAACAAAATTAACATGTAGCCGTTATTTTATTCTTTTGTCTCCCCTCTCTCACATTCCATTAGTTTGGAAACTAGACACAGAAATACCATGTGATCAGGATAACTAGTTCAGATTGCAGTTTGACTCCTGGAACAGTCACTCGCTAGTCAGAACACTGGGGTTACCTACCTATTTTAGAACAAACTGAAGGCGTGCGTACACAGGCCAACAAAAGCTGACTGAAAACTCAGGTTACCTGCTGGTGTTCCAGTGCTGCCAAGCGATCCATTAGCCTCTTGTTCTCCTTCTCCAGATTCTGCAGTGTGGATCTCATAGCACCCATTTCTAGCTTCAAAACAAGAAAAAATCCAATTCCAATCATGTCTTTTAAGTGTCTTGGATACAATACAAATCAATGGACCAAATTTCAACCCTAAGTGTGTGAATTATTCACAGGTCCTCATACCCAGAGCTACTTGCTTTTACCTTCCCTTCAGCACTAGTGATTCAGCCTTCCCCAAGAAGTTAACCTGTCAGATAAGCTCAGCAGTAACTATGCTGCAAACACACTCAAGTATACATTACAGATCCAACATTTAAAATGCAGGTTTGAGAGAGCTACACAGAAAATAAGTACATATGACCTCAGAATTCAGTGGGGGCTGAAAATGCTGTTGAGGTGATTCATTCAACTGCTAAGGAACAGCGAGAGTCTCATGTGACCCCCCAACCTCCAGCAATGGTGGAAGCTGTAGTGTAGATCTGAGTCTAATCACAGATGATATAGCTGTAAACACAACTGAGTTCTGTCTCACCACAGCTACAATCATTGATATAGTCAAAAGGGCTGCACCAATGGTAAATTATGGCTGTAAAGTTTGCTAAAGCAGATGCAATCTTGGAGTCCAGCCCAAAGATTCAGGTCTCCCTTCCATCACTAACATCAGTACTAGAGAAAACTCTCACCTCCCTGTCACAGGTTCAGTTAAGATAAAACTGTTTGTACTTTGGATACCAACCCAAAAGAATGGATAGAATCAGAAGTCAGAGTGAAGTCATGCGTACTTGGTAGTACCTTGTTCCCAGTTAGTTCCACTTCCAATTTGTTCCTCTCCTGTGTTATGTCACTTGCTGCTTTCTTCATCTGCGATAAGGAATTAAAATAAAGTCACTTTTAAAATCAGCAAAAAGGGACTCTACTAGATCCACCCTAGAGATCCATTTATACTTCCAACAGAGAGATGTAGCACTTCATCTCAGACAGAAGGGTCACAGACCAACCCTGAAATTAGAAACAACTGTATACAGTGGATCCCTCCCATCCTCTTTCTCTTCCTTACTACACATGCAGGGCACTTTCCTCATTTCCCTTCCCTGACAGGGCAAGGCAACATCATAACTGTTACATTGCAATCTACTCTCTTATGTTCATCCACTAGACATAGCACCAATGCTGTCTGCAATGACACCAAAGAATCAGAATGGGAGGAGGCCAACTATTATGTTCCAACCCATCTTTCCACATTTGCAGAGAATATGAGACTATACTACTTCACCATGGGACCAACACTGGGGAGGATGGGAATTTTAGTAAAGCAGATGGAAATGTCTTCTACTATGATACACCTTTAAAATAAAAGTAAGAGACAGGAAAATATCTGTTGTACTTCTTGCTGAAGACTCTCCTTCTCCAACAGTAGAGATCCTCTCTCCTTCAGTGCTGTCTCCAGTTCACCTCGTAGTCTAGCAATAGTAGACTCCAGGAGCACCTTCTGTGTGGTTGTCATCTGCTCAGCTAGGCATGCTTTTTGTCTGCAGCCAGAATGCTCTGTGTGCAAGGCCTCCCTGTGTAAGTAATACAGGAAACAGCTGAGTTGGAGTTCTATACCTCACAATCTTAGATGTCATGAACAGAAAATGGATTTTATATTATATACTAGACATGCTTATTGGTGCCTGTTTTACTGTGTTCAAAAGTCCTGATTAAGTGTCAGCCAGCAGAAAATAAGTAGAACCTGTAGGAGGCTTGGAGAGATACAGGGACCAGGACACACCAAAGACGGCTAGTATACAACAGAGAAAAGATCAAACTATAAAGATTTAGAATATTCCTTACTCACAGCTCTTTTTGAAGTTGGACTTTTTCGTTCCGCATGCTTTGCAGCTCTCCTATAATGTTGGCACGGGCAGCATCCAGCAGCAAGTCTTGTTCCAGCAGTTTCTGAGTCATCCTCTCCTGTTCTGCCTAAAGATGGAAAGGAAATGTCAGTGTGAAAATTCAGATTACACAAAGGCTACAGCAAAAGAAGACTGGGAGAAGGCACAAAGCTGCTATTTAAACCAAAGTTCTCTCTCTCCTGGTCAGTTGGGAGATTTCTGTATCCTCTCTTAGTACTGGATATTATAACACAACTCACTCCAGTTTTTCAACATCTTTCTTGAAATGTGGACACCAGAATTGGACACGGTATTCCTGTAGAAAGTGCACCAGTGCCAAATACGGAGGTAGCATAACTCTCTATTCCTGCTTGATATTCCCCTGTTTATACATCCAAGGATTGCATGAGCGCATGGCCATAGCATTACACCAGGAGCTGATGTTCAGCTTATTAGCCACCACGACCCCCACATCTCTTTCAGAGTCATTGCTTTCCAGGATAGAGTCCCCCATCCTGTAACTATGACTTTATTTTGTTTTTAGAAGACCTTACATTTGGCTGTATGGAAACACATTGTCTTCTTGTGCCCTGTTTAGCCTGTATTATTTACCACTCCCCCCACTCTGTGTGTCATCAGCAATCTTTATCAGCAATGATTTTCTGTTTTCTTCCAGGTCATTCATAAAAATATTAAATAATGTAAATATTTGGTGGTGTTTTTCGGCCTGCCCAAAATACCCTTGTAAGTAATGCAAGAGAGCATAAACACTCTATTTTTTTTTAATTTAAAAATCTGTACTTGCGAGTTAGAGGGTATCCATCCATAAACTGGAATTTCTTTAGTCAATTAAAAAAATCATCAGTCTGATAATGTCTCTCTTAAATAAATAGTTGCTAGACACATCAAACCAAAATAGCGAAGTCCTTAATCTTTGAGAAATCAGTAAAGTCCCAGAAGACAGACAGATAGATTGGTATCAGTCTAAGTTTTGAATTCTCTATCCCAAGGAAGAATGCTTTGAGCCATTCTCTGATGACACCAACTGGCTGACAGAAAAATAGTTAAAGATGCCAGAATGAGCAGGGGCTAGTTCTGCACTGAAGAGAAGGCAGGAATTGTGTGGAGGAAGGAAAGAATAAGAGAAATCTTCTTCTTTTCTCCAGAGAAGACAGAATAAATTCCAGAAGGTGATACATATTAGAGTAAGTGACCTGGTGAAAGATTGGATCTAGTCAATTAAACACACTCTTGGGTACCAAACTGTGCACTGATTCTACCTTCACATTAATTTTCATTTTATCAAGGATATTACCTGTCATTTAAGCAGGAGGAGGACGGAGAATTATAAGATAACATGGTTTTACATTTTATTGGGGTTTGATACCAAGTGTTCAAAATCAACTATGTCAAGCTGACTAGAATTCGGAGTCTTAATCCATAAAATATTTTACTGGATTCATGTAAGCTACTGGTTTATTGAGCTTTCCCCTTATCTAGTCTTCCTGGTCTCTGAGCCACAGATGCTTCACAGTGGCTATTTTACTTGCCTAATTGTGAACTGCATACCTTAAGCATGGCCTGATGATCTGAAATGAGTTTAGCATTCTCCATGGAAACTCTTCGAAGCGTAGCACTCAGTTCTGAGCACTGTTGGTTCAACTGGTCATTAATGGCCTACAGAGGGGAAAACACACACGTTTTATTTCAAACTTTCTGTAGTAGAAATAAAAACACTTACAAACCTATCAATTTCTTTTCTCTTTCCTCTACCCCCATCATCTTGCAGTTTTGAAGGTCAGTCTGACCTTTGCTATAACCAGGTCCACTAAGAAAAGTGTTCAGATAACACCAATTTTCAGTGGAAGGGTCACAAAGTGTGCTACTGTAAAAATACCGTAAGACTCGCACAAACCAGTATCAGCAAAGCTAATGGTACTGAAGCTCTATCCTGATTCACTCAATGACACTTAATATTTGAAGTAGCGCAGAGCAAGAACAAAGGACCAGATTCCATTCTATAGTTTAAAAAATAAATTGTCTAGAACCAATCACTGCAGGACTGTCTAGATGTAAGTTGCCCTTTGCCTTTCTCCAGGAATTGAAAGATGGCCTTGTGACAAAAATACAGGACTGGAAATAGGAGATCTAGGTACTATTCTCAGCTCCGTGATAAAATCATTACAGAACGCTTTTTTGTAAGGGACATCTCTTTACAATTTACACTACAGCAATGCTGCAGAAATGCCAAAACTCTAACACTGGAAAGATCCACTCACTTCACTGAAGAGCTGCTGCTAAACAGAAAAACTGTTGTACAGGATGGAAGTGGAGGAGAGCATTAGATAGCCAAAAACTCCAAACGTTTTGCAGCACATCTTGTTTTTACTAAAGCAGCAATTAAGTGTCTTTTATAGATTCTAAGGCCAGCAGGGACCATTATAATCATGTTGACTCCAGCCTAACACAGGCCATAACAACACATCCAGTAAATCCTGCATCAAGCCAATAAGTTCTGACTGAGCTATCACATCTCTTTTAGAAAGCTATCCAGTCTTGATTTAAAGTCTTCAAGTAATGGAGAATCCACAATTATGTTCAGCCCTTATGTTGGAGATGAGTTATATTAGGGCCAACAGCCCTAATATACCTTTTCAATATGTAGAAATTGCACCTTCTTAGAAGTCTAAGTATATCCATAAAAGCAGCCACAAGAATGGAAGCCTATGTTAGAATCGTAGCTAAATCAGAGATCATAAACTAAAGCGAATGTTTTGGGATTTCAAATTACGATATCAAGAAACTAAGTCATCATATTTAACATTTGTATCTGAAGCCTCTTCACTGTCACCTGCTCAGCAAACAGACTGTGCAGCTTTCATTGTGTAGCTTTACCCCAGACCAGGGAGGCATACCAAGATGTGAGCATCAAACTCAATGAGTCATTGTAGATCCTGCCCCCATATCTTAGCTCCGTGGTACAGCAAGAGATGCTACTTTCATTACCTGTACTTTTTCTGCTGTCTCTCGCAGAGCTGTTATTTCAGATCGCAGCTGCACATTTTCCTCGTGTTCTTTGCTGAAAGACAGCTGTGCATTCTAAAGGGAAGAATCAAACAGAATTTCTCCCTGAGAAAAGGTTAAAACAGACCCAGTGTATTTCATCATCCAGCCAAGAATTTCAGGGCATTTCACATTTGTCTCTCGCCTTTTGTTTAACAGAGCTGGTTAGCCTGTGACAGTGCTACCAGAGCACCTGCAGATGCCAGCCTGGGCTCCATTAATATAAACTTCCTTTGCCAATGATAGCCAAGATTATGAGACTCCAGTTAGCCTTTTCTGCATGTGTATTTTCTTTATTTGGATAGCCAAGCACAACCTCATATCAACTCAAAACACCTATTTGTCTTTACTGTCAGTGATCTTGGCACCATTCTTGACCCTAAACACTCCTCCTGCCACAAATCCTACGTCGGCTCATCTATCACCATTGCTGCAGCACTGCTTGTATATACCAAGCCTTGACTTCACCAAAACCTTTTTGCTTTCAAGCACAATTTTGGGCTGCATATACACAGACCGCATAAAGACTGTAAGCTCACAGGGGGCAGTGACTATTTGTTGTATTTGTACAGTGCCAAGTACAAGGAGGTCTTGTTACATCACTCAGGCTCCTACACACTACCGCAATACACAAAATAAATAATAATGGATTAGAAAGTAAATAGCCTCTTTCTACGACCCTGTTGCAGCCACACTTGGAATTTTGCATTCAACTCTGGACTCTTCACTGATAGGAGCCCTTCACCATTTAGCAAATACCTCCAAAAAACAAAGACAAACCTAGATTAGGCACATAACTTGTGACATTAATCCCTGTTTTGCTAACTGTTTAGTAGCCTTTAAGGGCTTGTCTTACACAGGGAACTGAGAAAAATTTATCTGAACTAACTAAAAAGTGTGAATTTAAAATGGATTAGTTGAACCACATTAAGCCCCTGTGTAGACGTTCTTATTCAGAATTAAAGTGGCCTTAATTTTATTTAGCCTTGAGTCTCTGGGTGGCATTTGTTCACATAAAAAAGGCACTATCCAATCTCACCCATATAACAGTCCCTGTACATAGAATCATAGAATATCAGGGTTGGAAGGGACCTCAGGAGGTCATCTAGTCCAAACCCCTGCTCAAAAGCAGGACCCATACCCAATTAAATCATCCCAGCCAGGGCTTTGTCAAGCCTGACCTTAAAAACTTCTAAATCAGGCGATTCCACCACCTCCCTAGGCAACGCATTCCAGTGTTTCACCACCCTCCTAGTGAAAAAGTTTTTCCTAATATCCAACCTGAACCTCCCCCACTGCAACTTGAGACCATTACTCCTTGTCCTGTCCTCTTCCACCACTGAGAATAGTCTAGAACCATCCTCTCTGGAACCACCTCTCAGGTAGTTGAAAGCAGCTATCAAATCCCCCCTCATTCTTCTCTTCCGCAGACTAAACAATCCCAGTTCCCTCAGCCTCTCCTCATAAGTCATGTGTTCCAGACCCCTAATCATTTGTGTTGCCCTTCGCTGGACTCTCTCCAATTTATCCACATCCTTCTTGTAGTGTGGGGCCCAAAACTGGACACAGTACTCCAGATGAGGCCTCACCAATGTCGAATAGAGGGGGACGATCACGTCCCTCGATCTGCTCGCTATGCCCCTACTTATACATCCCAAAATGCCATTGGCCTTCTTGGCAACAAGGGCACACTGCTGGCTCATATCCAGCTTCTCGTCCACTGTCACCCCTAGGTCCTTTTCCGCAGAACTGCTGCCTAGCCATTCGGTCCCTAGTCTGTAGCTGTGCATTGGGTTCTTCCGTCCTAAGTGCAGGACCCTGCACTTATCCTTATTGAACCTCATCAGATTTCTTTTGGCCCAATCCTCCAATTTGTCTAGGTCCCTCTGTATCCTATCCCTGCCCTCCAGCGTATCTACCACTCCTCCCAGTTTAGTATCATCCGCAAATTTGCTGAGAGTGCAATCCACACCATCCTCCAGATCATTTATGAAGATATTGAACAAAACCGGCCCCAGGACTGACCCCTGGGGCACTCCACTTGACACCGGCTTCCAACTAGACATGGAGCCATTGATCACTACCCGTTGAGCCCGACAATCTAGCCAACTTTCTACCCACCTTATGGCGCATTCATCCAGCCCATACTTCCTTAACTTGCTGACAAGAATACTGTGGGAGACCGTGTCAAAAGCTTTGCTAAAGTCAAGATAAAATACATCCACTGCTTTCCCTTCATCCACAGAACCAGTAATCTCATCATAGAAGGCGATTAGATTAGTCAGGCATGACCTTCCCTTGGTGAATCCATGCTGACTGTTCCTGATCACTTTCCTCTCATGTAAGTGCTTCAGGATTGATTCTTTGAGGACCTGCTCCATGATTTTTCCGGGGACTGAAGTGAGGCTGACTGGCCTGTAGTTCCCAGGATCCTCCTTCTTCCCTTTTTTAAAGATTGGCACTACATTAGCCTTTTTCCAGTCATCTGGGACTTCCCCCGTTCGCCACGAGTTTTCAAAGATAATGGCCAATGGCTCTGCAATCACAGCCGCCAGTTCCTTTAGCACTCTCGGATGCAACTCATCCGGCCCCATGGACTTGTGCACGTCCAGTTTTTCTAAATAGTCCCTAACCACCTCTTTCTCCACAGAGGGCTGGCCATCTATTCCCCATGTTGTGATGCCCAGCACAGCAGTCTGGGAGCTGACCTTGTTCGTGAAGACAGAGGCAAAAAAAGCATTGAGTACATTAGCTTTTTCCACATCCTCTGTCACTAGGTTGCCTCCCTCATTCATTAAGGGGCCCACACTTTCCTTGGCTTTCTTCTTGTTGCCAACATACCTGAAGAAACCCTTTTTGTTACTCTTAACATCTCTCGCTAGCTGCAGCTCCAGGTGTGATTTGGCCCTCCTAATTTCAATCCTACATGCCCGAGCAATATTTTTATACTCTTCCCTGGTCATATGTCCAACCTTCCACCTCTTGTAAGCTTCTTTTTTATGCTTAAGATCCGCTAGGATTTCACCGTTAAGCCAAGCTGGTCGCCTGTCATATTTACTATTCTTTTGACACAACGGGATGGTTTGTCCCTGTAACCTCAACAGGGATTCCTTGAAATACAGCCAGCTCTCCTGGACTCCTTTCCCCTTCATGTTAGTCCCCCAGGGGATCCTACCCATCCGTTCCCTGAGGGAGTCGAAGTCTGCTTTCCTGAAGTCCAGGGTCCGTATCCTGCTGTTTACCTTTCTTCCCTGTGTCAGGATCCTGAACTCAACCAACTCATGGTCACTGCCTCCCAGATTCCCATCCACTTTTGCTTCCCCTACTAATTCTTCCCGGTTTGTGAGCAGCAGGTCAAGAAAAGCTCCCCCCCAGTTGGCTCCTCTAGCACTTGCACCAGGAAATTGTCCCCTACGCTTTCCAAAAACTTCCTGGATTGTCTATGAACCGCTGTACTGCTCTCCCAGCAGATATCAGGAAAATTAAAGTCACCCATGAGAACCAGGGCATGCGATCTAGTAGCTTCCGCGAGCTGCCGGAAGAAAGCCTCATCCACCTCATCCCCCTGGTCCGGTGGTCTATAGCAGACTCCCACCACTACATCACTCCTGTTGCTCACACTTCTAAACTTAATCCAGAGACACTCAGGTTTTTCTGCAGTATCGTACCGGAGCTCTGAGCAGTCATACTGCTCCCTTACATACAGTGCTACTCCCCCACCTTTTCTGCCCTGCCTGTCCTTCCTGAACAGTTTATAACCATCCATGACAGTACTCCAGTCATGTGAGTTATCCCACCAAGTCTCTGTTATTCCAATCATGTCATAATTCCTTGACATCACCAGGACCTCCAGTTCTCCCTGCTTGTTTCCAAGGCTTTGTGCATTCGTATATAAGCACTTGAGATAACCTGCTGATCGCCCCTGATTCTCAGTATGAGGCAGGAGCCCTCCCCTCACAGACATTCCTGCCTGTGCTTCCTCCCGGTATCCCGCTTTCCCACTTACCTCAGGGCTTTGGTCTCCTTCCCCCGGTGAACCTAGTTTAAAGCCCTCCTCACTAGGTTAGCATGAGAGGATTAACAGAGGGCCTGCAGGTCAGGACTGAGGTACAGTGGTATTTTGCTTCTTACATTAGAAAAAGGAGAAAAATCAACTCTTTCCCCCTCCAACAGTTGTTTACAACTTACTTTTGCTTCTTCACTGAGCTGGGAAATGATGCAGTTTCTGGAATCTAAGGCAGAGCAAAATCAAAACAAAGCCATGAAACTATATGGTTGTAAATCAAAATGTCACCTTCTTAATTAAAGTGACTTGCTTAGGTAACTGAATATGGAACAAATATGAAAGATTTCCATAAACATGCTGCTCTGTCTGATAACACTTTTACTGATGGATCTAACCTTTCAGCAGGGTCACTGTCGAGCACATCCTTCCTTCCTGTTAATCACAGGCAAGACTACTACTTTTTTTTTTTTTTTTTAAAGAGGAAAGCATACAATTGTACCTCTCCCTCATCCATGCAATGGCTGGGATTGCACATGCATCCTGGGTAGCTGTACTCATAACCTGAATGATGTGGCAACTGTACACACAAATTATGTGCAATACCATATATGTTTTTGTGTCTAAAAGCTCAGGCCCCTAGTTTAAACAAATACAGGGTAGAAAAAGAATGTACTTGTGTTGGTCTGAATGAACTATCTGTATAACATGCCTCTTCCAGTTCTGCACTGCTTCTGAACGAGATACTGACAAAGGTGAAGAGGATGAGAGATACATGAATGAAAAGAATATAAAAATGAAGCCAATCAAAGATTCTTGGTTACAACATCCAAAGTACAATCTGGAAAGGTCAGCCAAAAGATATTTCAAATAACAAAGGAAGAAAGCCTTAATCAGAAGGATAATTTCACGTTTACTTTCTGCATGAATCTTTCCCCCAGAGGTAAGCAAACTCCCTTTGGAGAAGCTAAAGAAAAAAATGTTAAATGAAAAATGCCATTTCATTTCTTCCTAATTCAATCTGTGGGAAAGGGATCAAAGTACAAGGTGACAAGCTAAATTCCCTCTAAAGCTGCATGGCCACACAGATGCCTATTAAGCACTGCACAGGCACTCAGGGCTCCGTTGGGGAGAGATGCCACTCCCCAAGCCCCGGACCTACCATGTCACCCCTCTCCTGGCCCAGCCTGGCCCTGCTGGGAGGACAGGCACCCCTCCCTGGCCCCAACCCAGCCTGGCCCCGGACCTGCTACGGCTGGGGGACAGGCACTCTGCCCCCAACCCAGCCCTGCCGCGGCCGAGGGACAGGCACCCCTCCCCTGACCCCTCCCCAGCCCAGCCTGGATCTGCCACAGCCCAGATGCTGTTGCAGGGAGTCCTCTCCATCATAGCCCCAGGGAGCACCAATGCACCCAAACCTCTCAGCCCCAGCTCCACCGAGCCCTCACACACATCCTGCACCCTATCCCTGAGCCCCCATCCCTGGCCCTACCCCAGAGCCCACACCCCCAGACAGAAACCTCCCACCCCAACTCTCTACCCCAGCCCTGAGCCCCCTCCCACACTCCGAACCCTCTGGCTCTACCCCACCACATGAATTTTGTTATGTGCACCAATGTGGAGGTGATGTGTTACACATCACCTCCATATTGGTGCACACAACAAAATTCATTCCTTACATGGGTGGGAAAATTTAAAGGGAACACTGGTGACAAGTACCAGGTTTTAATCCTTTAGTACATACTAGAAATTCACTAAGTTTCAGCCTAAATTTGGCACTTGGGTAATAGATGGATTTTTGTTTGGGGAAAAGGAAACTGTTCTGTGTTTGTACAGGAAGAGAGGTCTCTCCCACCCATTCAATCCTACTATAACAGGGTGGCAAGATTCTCCTGTTTTCATATCCTCCTAGTGGGTGCTGGAACCCTTAATCAAGCTGCAGGTTAATTATTGCTGTCTCAATGAAGCAGATATGGGTCATTAAATTTCATCCTGAATATAAAGAAAGAGGGAGTGGCTCTCTGGCAAAAGGAACTAGAATCTGGAACAGACAGGTCTTGAAGGAAGGAACCCTAGGAAGAACACTTAGGCAATATTGAGGATTTTTTGGGGGTGGGGGCCAGGGATTTTATTTTTTGTTTTATTTTTAAAGAAAAATAGCAGATACCAGGAGGAATGGTCCTTTCATTCTGCAAGTGTGTAACTTTTGTTTGGAATTGGGTGGAGATTCCACCGGACTTACTTCACTGAAGCAGGGATTCCTGATCAGATCAACTAAATTTTCATGCACTGACATCTTTGTTCCACGAGGCTGTTGTGTTCCTCATTAAATCCCTCCCCTGCATCACAGTGCTTCTCACAGCATCTCCCAAATTATCTAAAGGAAAAGCGGTAAGGAAACTTTTCATGCTGTGCTAACTTATACCTCTGCCCATAGCTCCAAAAGATCAAGTCATTAGCAACCAGCATAATACCCAAATATCAGTTCAAGAATGAAGTCCTATGATTACTCACTAGCTCAAATCTTCTCTGAAAGAGACTCACATTGATTAAATCCATTAAGAAAATTGCTATCATTCTATTCCCTTCTCCCTATTATTACTGCAGCCACTTTCCTCCAGCTAGGAAAAGGTTCAGCAGCTTCAGATAAAAGCCAAGAGAAGTCTCTTCAAGAGTCCATCACCTCATAACCAGCAGTCCTCCCATTAGCCAATATAGCTGTATCCTATCAGGAGGACCCTACCAGCTTTGAAATGATGGACCTCAGTCACTCAAGCCTCTGCTGTCTGGTAGGGAAGGTGTTGCAGGGCTAACAAATCAGAAGCATAGAAATGTAGGACTGGAAGGAACCTCAATAGATCATCTAGTCCAGTCCCCAGCACTGAGGCAGGACTAAGTATAATCTAGACCATCCCTGACAGGTGTTTGTCTAACCTGTTCTTAAAAGCCTCCAATGACAGAGATTCCACAACCTGCCTCGGTAATTCATTCTAGCACTTAACTACCTTTACAGTTAGGAAGTTTTTCCTAATGTCTAACCTAAATCTCCCTTGCTGCAAGTTAAACCCAGTACTTCTTGTCCTGTCCTCAGTAGTTAAGGAGAACAATGTATCACCCTCTTGTTTGTAACAATCTTTTATATACTTGAAGACTTATCATTATCCCCCTTCAGTCTATTTTTGTCCAGACTAAACAAACTCCTTTTTTTAAATCTTTCCTCATAAGTCATATTTTCTAGACTTAATCATTTTTGTTGCTCTCCTCTGGACTTTCTCCAAATTGTCCACATCTTTTCCAATGTGTGGTGCCCACAACTGGACACAGCACGCTAGCTGAGGCCTTATCAGTGCTGAGTAGAGTGGAAGAATTACTCCTCGTGTCTTGCTTAAATCATTCCTGTTTAATACATCCCAGAATGATGTTCGCTTTTTTTTTTTTTTGGCAACAGTATTATATTGTTGACTCTCATTTAGTTTGTGATCCAGTTAACACCCAGATCCCTTTTCTGCAGTACTCCTTCCGAGGCCGTCATTTCCCATTTTGTGTTTGTACAATTGACTATTCCTTCCTAAATGTAGTACTTCGCATTTGTCCTAGTGAATTTCACCCTATTTATTTAAGACCGTTTCTCCAGTTTGTCCAGATCATTTTGAATTCTAATCCTGTGCTCCAAGGCGCTTGCAACCTCTCCCAGCTTGGTATGGTCCATAAACTTTACAAGTGTACTCTCTGTGCGTTATCCAAATAATTTATGAGAATATTGAATAGAACTGGATCTGGGAGAGATCCCTGCAGAACCCCACTCGATATGCCCTTCCAGCTTGATTGTGAACCATTGACAACTACTTTCTGTTTTGTTTTTGCAACCAGTTATATACCCACCTTATAGTAGATTTGTCTAGGCTATATATCACTGGTTTGTTTATGAGAAGGTCAAGTGTGTCAATATCAAAAGCCTTACTAATATTGAGATGTATCACATCTACTGCTTCCCCACATCCACCAGCTTGTTGTCAAAAGAGGATATTAGGTTGATTTGCCATGATTTGTTCTTCACAAATCCATGTTGACTGTTACTTATCACGCTGTTTTCTTTTAGATGCTTACAAATTGTTTGATTATTTCCTCCATCATCTTTTTGGGTACCGAAGTTAAACTGACTGGTCTATAATTCCCTGGGTTGTCCTTCTCCCCCATTTTATAGATAGATATTATATTTGCCCTTTTCCAGGTCTGTGAGATCTCTTCCGTCCTCCAGGAGTGCTCAAAGATAATTGCTAATGGCTCAGCAATCTCTTCAGCCAGTTCCTTAAGTGTTCTGGGATGTATTTCATCAGGCCCTACCAACTTGAAGATATCTAACTTGTCTAAGTAATGCTTAACTTATTCTTTTTCTGTTTTGGCCTCAGATCCTACCCCATTTACACTGATGTTCACTATGTTAGTGGTCCAATCACTGCTAACTTGTTTGGTGAAAACTGAAAATAAAAAAGGCAATACTCAATCCTAGCTGAGGACCTGCTATCATACCCAGGTCAGCTTTCAGCTGTGTACATTCCTGCCCCAGCTGTACAGTTCTCTCCTCCTCCTTCTGTAACCTCTCTCGGGCAAGCTGGACATCCTTGCGCAGGCCATGGCAGTCCTGCTGCAGCACCTGTACCTATAGGGATATCACACAATCAGATTTTCTCTGGGATATAGAGTTTTATAAAAACATGAGAATCTAAGCAAGTTTCGGAATCCAAAAAGTTAGCCTATTGGAGAGGAAAAAGCTAATCAGATTGTTTCAAGCATAATGTTTTAAAGAAGAATCACAAAGAGCAGTTAGTGGGGTATCAGAGGTTGTAGAAAGGGTCCCGATTGCCTGCTTACTTTATGCAAAGGGGTGGAGCTAGAGGTAATAAAAACACATATTATAAGAGAAGTGAAATCAAATTAGCAGGGTGGCCTGCGATTGCATTAACAAGGATCACAGAAAGACAGGCTTTGTGGATCTGCCACTGAAAACAGACTGTTAAGTAAGCAAGGTCTGAACATATGAACCATTCTGTCTCTTCTCGCATTACTTATCAAAACAGGACATTGTGATAAATACAAACGTCAGAAAGCATGGGATGAATTAAATTAAACCATTTTCTCTCCTTTTAATCCAATCTTGTTTTGCTCATTCACTGTTAGTTTCCTGTACAACTTGAAGTCTACAAGAATATTAAGATAATTCACAAAAGCTAGGAAAAGAAGAAAGTATGAAATTTCTACTAGCAGTATGCTGAACAATTCCAGAGACAGCAGAAGGGACCTTGAAAGAACAGAGATTAAGCAGATGCTTGACAGTCCAAAACCTGTTTTCCCAGGATTGACAAAATACATAAATGAATCAGTGTTTGTTCATTTGATTCATTTAAACATGAATAAATCTCACACCTGTTTTTTTGTTGTTTGTAGTCCTGTTGCAAGTGCTGTGGATTTAGAAATGTTTAGGCAGCCTTTGTTGCTTGGGGTTTTTTTTTTTTTTGGATATCTGAAGTATAACCAAGTCTCTCTCTGCATTCACCTCCCTCGTGCTTCACAAGGGCTTCATATTGCAAATACACTTGTGAACCAAAAGCCACCTTTGTTATTGTGGGAATTCATGGGGAAAACATTGTTACTCCAGAAGGTTTAAGAACTCTATGGAATATCTTCAGAAATGTTGTTTTCTAGCAGAAAGCTGGTATTTGCTAGCTGATACTACTATGCATATTTCTTTTTAATGTTCAATATTGCTTAGTTACTTATAAAACACTGAAAACATTTGTACCACTGATAATATTGAAAAGACAAAAAAAACCCCAAAACCCTCAACTAAAATTAGAGAAATTGCCAGCTGATATCTTAGGATAAACCAGTCATAATTAACTTCCTTCATGTTCTGGTGTATCATGAATATCAATGTAGATTCCTTAATAAAACCACAATACATACAGAGGCCTTCCATAAGAAATGGCCATACAGGGTCAGACCAATGGTTCATCTAGCCCAGTATCCTGTCTTTCAACGGTGACCAGTGCCAGATGCTTCAGAGAGAACAAACAGAACAGGAGAATTTATCAAGTAATCCATCCCATTGTTCAGTCCCAGTTTCTGGCAGTCAGAGGTTTAGGGACACCCAGAGCAGGGAGTTGCATCCCTGACCATAGTGGCTAATAGCCATTGATGAACCTATATTCCATGAACTTTTTTTTTTAACCCAGTTATACTTTTGGCCTTCATAACATCCCCTGACAATGAGTTTCATAGGTTGACTGTGCATTGTGTGGAGAAGTTTGTTTTAATCCTGCTGCCTTATTCATTTCATTGGGTGACCAACGGTTCTTGTACCTTGTGAAGGGGTAAATAATTTCCCCCCCGTGCCATTTATGCTTTTATAGACCTCTGAGATATCCCACCCTTAGTTGTCTCTTTTCTAAACTGAACAGTCCCCATCTTTTTAATCTCTTCTCAAATGGAAGGTGTTCCATACCCCTCATCTTCTCTCTCTCCCCACCCCCCGTCTCTGTACTTTTTCTACTTCTAATATCTTTTTTTTTGAGATAGAGTGACCAGAACTGCATGCTGTATTTAAGGTGTGGGTGTATCATGCATTTATATAGTGGCATTATGATATTTTCTGTCTTATATATCCCTTTCCTAATGATTCCTCACATTCTGTTGCTTTTTTGATTGCTGTTGCGCATTGAGCAGGTGTACCCAGAAAGCTAACCACAATGACGCCAAGATCTTTCTTGAGTGGTAAAAGCTAATTCAGATCCCATCATTTTGTATGTACGGTTGGGATTATGTTTTCCAGTGTGCATTACTTTGTATTTAGCAACACTGAATTTTATCTGCCCTTCTGTTTTCCAGTCACTGAGTTTTGTGAGAGCCCTCTGTAACTCTTCACAGTCTGTTTTGGACTCAATTATCTTGAATCATTTTGTATTGTCTGTAAACTTTGTCATTTCACTGATTACCCCTTTTTCCAGATCACGTAGGAGTATAGTGAACAGCCCTGGTTCCAGTACAAATCCTTGGGGGACTCTGCTATTTACCTCTCTCCCACTGTGAAAACTGACCATTTATTCCCCCACCCCCCTTTGTTTCCTATCTTTTAACCAGTCTCATGGACTTTCCCTGTTATCCCATGATATCCTACTTTGTTTAAGAGCCTTTGGTGAGAGACCGTGTCAAAGGCTTTCTGAAAGTCCAAGTACACTATATCCACTTCATCACTCTTGTTCACATGTTGGTTGACACCCTCAAAAATTCTGAGTGGGGAGGCATGGCTTCCCTTTACAGAAGCCATGTTGATCTTCCCCAACAAATCGTGTTCACCTATGTGTCTGATAATTCTGCTCTCTACAATAGTTTCAACCACTTCGCCCGTTACTGAAATTAGGCTTCCTGACCTGTAATTGCCAGGATCGCCTCTGGAGCCTTTTTTAAAAATGTCAGCACCCCATTAGCTATCCGCCAGTCACCTGCCACAGGAGCTGATTTATGAGAGAAGTTCCGCATCAGTTAGTAGTTCTGAAATTTCATAGTTGAGTTCTTTCAGAATTCTTGGGTGAATACCAGCTGGGTCTGGTGACTTATTACTGTTTAATTAAACAGTTTATTCCAAAACCTCCTTTATTTACACCACAATCTGGGATATTTCCTGAGAATGGCTCTAGTGCAGGAATCTCCCTCACACCCTCTGCAATGATGATTGATACATTTAGCTTCTCTGTCACGGCTTTGTCTTTCTGAAGTGCTTTCTTCATCTCCTCAATCGTCCAATAGTGCCACAGGCTTCCTGCTGCTCATGTACTTAAACAATTTTTTGCTGTTCGTTTTTGTGCCTTTTGCTTGTTGCTCTTCAAATTCTTTTTTTGGCAATACTTGACTTGCCTAAGTTTTGCTCCTTTCTATTTTCCTTATTAGGCTCAGACTTCCAATTTTTAAAAGAGGTCTTTCTGTCTCTAGCCATCTTTTACTTGGCTTTTTAGCCATGGTGGCATTTTATTGGTCCTCTTACATTTTTTTTATTTATTTTATTTTTACACGTTTGGGGCATACATATAGTTTTGAGCCTCTATTATGGTGTTTTTTAAAAGTTCCCATGCAGCTTGCAGGCATTTCACTCGCAACTGTTCCTTTTAATTTCCATTTAACTAACCTCTTCGTTATGTGTAGTTCCCCTTTTTGAAGTTCAGCGCTATTGTGCTGGGTTTCTTTAGTATTTTCCTCCTTACAAGGATATTAAATTTCATTACATTATGGCTGCTGTTACTGAGTGATTCAGCTATATTCACCTTTTGGACCAGATCCTGTGTACCACTTAGAATTAAATCAAGAATTGCCTCTCCCCTTGTGGGTCCAGAACTAGCTGCTCCAGAAGCAGTCATGAACAGTGTCTAGAAATTTTATCTCTCTGCCTCCCATCCTGAGGTGATATATTCCCAGTCAATAGGGGGATAGTTGAAATTCCTTACATTACTACTGTGTTTTCTGTTTGTGTAGCCTTTCTAATCTCCCTGAGTGTCTCACAATAAAGGTCACCATCCTGGTTAGGTGGTCAGTAGTATATTCCTACGGTTATTATTCAAGCATGGAATTTCTATCTATAGAGATACCATGACACTATTTGATTCATTTAAGATTTTTACTACATTTGACTCTAAGCTTTCTTTCACATATAATGCCACTCTTCCACTAGTACAACGAGGAGCCCGGTGGCAACTTGAAGACTAACATTTATTTGGGCATAAGCTTTTGTGGGTAAACAACCCACTTCTTCAGATGCATGGAGACTGACTAACACGGTTACCCCTCTGATACTCTTCCACCAGTGCAACTTACTCTATCATTCCTATATATTTTATACCCTGATATAATTATGTCACATGGATTATCATCATTTCAGCAAGTTTCTGTGATGCCTATTATATCAATATTCTCATTTAATACCAGGCAGTCAAGTTCACTCATCTTAGTATTTAGACTTTTTGCATTTGTATACAAGCACTTATAAAATTTGTTACTACAGTAGCTCCCCACTTAACATCCTCTCGCTTAACATTGTTTCGATCTTACATCCCTGCTCAGTTACAGAACATGCTCCATTTAAAGTTGTGCAATGCTTTGCTATAACGTCGTCTGGGTGCCTGCTTTGTCCACAGCCGGCAGCCCCCGCTCCCCTCCATCAGCTCCTCTACACCCTCCCCTCAGCACCTCCCGCCCACCGGCAGACCCCACAGATCAGCGCCTTCCCCCCCTTGCCTCCTGCCCGTGGCAATCAGCTGGCTTGCGGCGTTCAAGAGGGAGGGGAGAGGAACGAGGACTCGGCCCGCAGGCTCCCCCCCACTCCTGAATGCCATAAACCATCTGATTGCTGTGGGCAGGAGCCAGGGGAGAGGCTGTGCTCAGAGTCCTTGCTCCTCCAACCACCCTCCTGAACATCACAAGCCAGCTGATTGCCGCGGGGGGGGGGGGGAAGGAGGAGGAGGAGCAAGGACACCGCATGCAGCCTCCCTCTTCCCTCCCCTGCCTGCTGCAATCAGCTGGCTTGTGGCATTCAGGAGGCAGGGGAGGGAGGCGGAGCCTGGGGGCCGAGTCCTCGTTCCTCTCCCCTCCCTCTTGAACGCCGCAAGCCAGCTGATTGCCATGGACAGGAGGCAGGGGAGGGAGGACACGGCTTGCGGAGTAAAGGGGGAGGAGGTGGGGGGGGGGAAGAAGAGGCGGGTTAAGGGTGGGGGCTTGGGGGAAGGGGTCGAGTGGGCGGGCTAAGGGTTGAGCCCCCTGCCCCTGGTGCTTGCAGAGTAGGGGAAGCTGCCGTTGCTGCTGCACAACGTGCTTCTTCTAGCCTACAGCACCTTCAGCCTCTTTGCCTGCCTCATTGTCTCCAGTGCCAGTGGGCTGTGCCTGTGTGGGGTAAGGCAGGAGCACCTCCCAACTATAGTACTGTACTGTATGGCAAAAAAAATTTTTTCCCTGGAACCTAACACATTTACATTCATTCTTATAGGGAAATTGGATTCGCTTAATATTGTTTCACTTAAAGTCACATTGTTCAGGAACATAACTACAACATTAATTGAGGAGTTACTGTATTTAATTGAGTGCCTGCAAGTCGTGTAATTGAATAGTACTCTTTTTTGTTTGACTGTTTTTCTTCAGTCCTTACCTCTACTTTATCAACTTCTATCCTGTTCTCTTTACTAGGTATGGAGTATCCTCTTTAATAAATCGGATGGGTTTGTCCAAATTCTGTGCATCTCTGCACCTGTTGGCTTACCCTCAGCTTAAAAACTTTGACCTTTTTAATTTTACATGCCAGTAATCTGGTTTTTTGTTTTGGTTTAGGTGGAGCCCATCCTTCCACTACAGGCTCCTCCATTCCCAAAAGGTTCCCCAGTTCTTAATAATCCTAAATCCCTCTTCCCAACACCATCCGAGACCCTGCAGTTCTGCCTATCTGGAAGCATTTCAGAGAGTGCTACCATGATGGTCCTGAATTTTAATCTCTTACCTAACAGCCTAAATTTGGCCCCCAGGCCTCTTTTATCTTTCCCTACGTCAGTGGTACCTACATATACCATGACCACCGGCTCCTCCCCAGAACTGCCCATAAGTCTGTATAGATATTGCAAGAAGTCTGTAACCTTTGCACTTGGCAGGCAATTCACTGTGCGGTTCTTCCAGTCATCACAAACCCAGCTATCTATATTTTCTAATAATTGCATCCCCCATTACTATTACCTGTTTCTTCCTAATAACAGGCATCCCCACCCCAGAGAGTTATGCTCACTGTGAGAGTATACCATGAAATCATCCAGAAGGAGGATCCCAACTATGGGAATGTTTCCCTTCACTTCTGCTCTACTGTGTCCAGGGAAGTCTTATCTATGTACATCTCTGTCCCCCTTAGCTCCTCCAGTTCAGCCATTCCGATCTCAAGAGCCTGTACTGTGTCCTCGGACCATGAGGTGCTTGCACTGAATGCGCACACATGCCATCTACCCACAAGGCAGGTAATCATACGTGCTACATTCAGTGCAATAAACTTAATTGCCCTCACTCTGCTGCAGAACTTTCTGCTTGCTTTATTTTTACTTTTGCTGGATCTCACAGTTGCTGGTCTGTTTCTCTGCAGAGCATTCATATTGAATTGCTTGTCAACTTTTAGACCTTTAACACCTCATTAAAATTTAATCAAGATTCCATTTTCCGCACCTTGCATACTGAAGCTAAGTGATTACAAAGGTATGTTAACTGTTCTCTAGGAAGAACACTCCAACCTCTTATTATTCTTCCTGCGAGGCAAAAAAAAAAAAAAAGAAAAAAAAAGACAAAGGAAAAGTGGAAGAGGTGCTGTGCTTCTCCAACCTGTTCCCGTTCTGCCTCCACTGTTATCTCCATATCCTGCACACGTTGCAGCATGGTTGCTTGGGATTCCTCCAAAGACTCCCGCAGGCTTGCCTCCTGGAAAAGCTGCTCCCTTAGCTATAAGAGACAAAACACTGGGTATCTGGCTGGAGACAGCACCAAGCCATAAAAACCTGAAGATTAATGAAGCAGATAGGGGTTCAATACAGCAAAGCAACCCTTATTAGTAATATCCAGTGACCTGCTAAACGTGATATAACACTATGGAGTAAGTATTTCATGGAAGTGGTAAAGCAAGGAAGCAATACCAAACAACCCATTCAACTATGGAAAATGTATTAATAACCAGACAGATTTGGCACCTGGACCAAAATTTGTGTTTACTGAGAGTGGCAATTCTACTCCCTACAGTGTGCTCAGAGACCCAACTATTTTCTCTGCCTCAAATCTCACTGCTCTTGTGCCACATTACCATTCCTCCATCCAAGACCCTACTGTGTCTGTCTTCCTCTAAACTGAGTCAACATTGCTTCTGAATGTGTTGGAAAGAGTCACTGCAGATATGAGACACTTCTTCTACTGCAGGGACTGAGCAAACATAGTGGGCCTGATTTTGTTCTCACATCAGAGCAATTCCAGTTGACTATCACTGTAATTGAGACTAGAAATCAGGCATATTGTCTTCACAGCACACTCAAGACCCAAAGTTCAATTCCTTGCAGAGTAGCATACTCTGTTACTACGAGACTCTTGGGTTCATCACTAAAAGGGATAGCTGCCATTCAATAAGGACTAAGCAGCTACTCTTTTCCCCGGAAACCCAATTCCAGATATAGAAAGCTGAATCTAAAGCTTTCTGTATCTGGAACTACAAGCTTTAGAAACATTTAGACACATTCAGTGTAAAACCTCCTATAAAAGCAAATCACATAAGGTACGCTCTTGACCCTATCCAACAGGTGATTCTAATCTCTGGTGTCCCCAGGAAAAGCTAGGACAGGTGATGTTGACAGAACATGTAGATTACTTTGAAGCCTGATTTCGCTAAAGACATTTGTATCGAGTTACTAATAAGGGGCCTATAATAAGAAGAGAATTCCCAGGGACAAATATGAATAAATGAGGCTATAAGAAGAGGCTTTTTTTTTTGGTTTGTTGCAGAGAAACCAGCACCAATTTGAAATGGGGCCTAGAACCGGGGCCTAGCTATATCCCCATCATGAGTACTGCCAAAATACTGAGTGATAATCATGTGAGCTAGTGTATCTGGGAATAGATACTTCTGCTTCTTCTGTGAACTATAAGAAGAGAGCATCAGATACACACCAACAGAAATGTTTAAAGTTGCATAATGACTACTATTATCTGAAGAGACTCCACATGATGCTTCAGATCTGTCATCCTCCAGTAAGTACAGCACAAGTACCTAAATGCATTGCTTATAACAAGGGCCATGTGTACTTCAGGGCAAGCTGAACCTGAATGTTACTGCAAGACCTGCCGCCTTTCTCCGGCACAGCAAACTGGAAGTTCTATTGCAATATCAACTATTTTTAAAAACAGAGGATTTTATTTAATAATTAAAATGAAAGTGAGTGATAAAAATCTCTGTACCAGTGGTCTGGGGAGATCTGGCCAGTCACACACAGTGATAACTTTACTTCTTTCCAGCTACTAAGGAACATTAAAAGAAGCTGAAAATATATAAAAAAGGAATGCCAGGAAAGTAATTGTTATAGTTTCTACAGAGAGACTTAATCATCAATTGATGCTGTTCTGTGTGATTGTGAATGGGAAGGAAGGTGGTCCACACCAGAAGTCAGAGAAGCCGTTCACGTACATTTAAGTGTACTACTTTCTTTGATATTCACTTTTATGATTAAGTTTTCAGTGTGACCTATGCTGACAAAGAGTATCCACATTGTATTTGAAGTTGGAGGTTTTGACAACTACGGCTTTAGGGTCTCAAGAACAGTGAGAAAAAGCACTTAGCTTTTTGGCACTCCCATGAGGCATTTATGGTTTTTTGAACTTAGGAGGGGTCATCTTCTCTTTCCCTCCCATTTTATGGAGCAAGGTGGGCTGGGGGGGAGGGGAGAGGAAATCCATTTTCCCCGTGAACGGAGTGATTTGCATGATCTCACCAACTGCTTCCATTACCCACCTCACATCCTTTCTGTTCCCTAAAGGCTTAACACCACTGCGGCCTGCATATTGCATCAAGCATCCTTCTGGCCAAGACAAGATCAGGACACCTTTTAAGTCTTTCAGAACTGCTGCTCATTTGGCTTGAGAAGTTATTAAATGACATAAGGGACATAACCCACATTCTCAAAACAGGATTAGGCTGCTTTGCAGAAGCTCACACCCTACTTCATGAGGACAATAAGATGCCTCATGTCTGCACTCTATTTTTTAATTAGTCCATAACAAGGTATCTGCTACAACTTGTTCACTAGGTAGCAGACATTAAGTCACCAGTTCCATTCTGGATGCAATAAAGTCATTCTTCATGACCAAAAGAAGCAGAAGATTGTCAGCGAAGGGTAAAACCTACTTCCACAGCATGGAACTCAGGTCTCTGTTAGTAACGTCAACTAACGCATTTTTGTATCTTGCATGAAGGACATTCTGTCTTAGGTTTGTAGATCGAGGCATGCTCAGCAGCCTTCTTTCAGATGTGCATATTCCATTCCTGGTTTTCATAGATTCATACCCAGATCACCATCCAGGCTTTTCCCCAAAAATCTTATCACCTCACTCTTCCTTCTAACCTTCTTTTGTGCTTACCTCCTGAAGTCTATGGTTCATTATGTGTTTTGTTGTTCTCAGCTCCTCTGCTGCAATGGCTACATCTGTCTAAAAAGGACAAATAATAAATAATAATTTATGCCTCACAACTGCAGCAAAACTTTGAAGAGTATTTCAAAACCAGGCTGGCCAGTAACCCGTGCATGTTTTACATTTCATGCCATGCGGAGACCTGGGTTTGATTCCTAGTTCTAGTCTGGTGCTCTAAAGAGACAAAACACCTTGCATTGCTTTTCAGCAACCACTTAAGACAATTAAGAAGATAGGATAACAGATTCCAGACCAGTCCTCTTCAGCTGAAAGGCCTAGCTGTGGGACCCAAAGAGTATACAGAAAAATGGAGATGTGCTTAGCAATCCATGAGTTGGAAGTGGAGAACCCCAATTCTTGAGGGGTTATAAATACAGGGTGGTTTGTTTGTTTTTTTCCCCCCCCCAAGTCACACTCAGTTTATCACCATCATTTATTGCTGGATCCAGAGAGTCCCCTTCACAAAGATGAGATTGTCTTTTACTCCAACAAAAACAGCACCACCCACACAATGCCATTTCTAATCACACATACCTAACCTCCGAGCACCTCAAAGCAGAGTTTCATTTTCAAAGTTGGCAGCCTTTAAAGACCAGTGCCTTAGTATTGGAATCAGTATAGACACTCTTCAAGGACTACAACTCTCAGCACCAGTGTTCCCTTTAATTTTTCCCACCCATATGCGGAATGAATTTTGTTATTGTACCAATATGGCGGTGATGTGTGACACATCATCTTCATATTGATGCATGTAACAAAAATTCATGTGGTTGGGGTGGGGCCGAGGATTTGGAGTGTGGCGGGGCTCAGGGGTGGGGCAAAGGGTTGAGGTGGGGGGGCGTGAGGGCTCTGGCTAGGGGTGCAGGCTCTGAGGTGGGGCTGGGGATGAGGGGTTTAGGGTGCAGGCTGCCCCAGGATTGCGGTGGGAGAGAGGACTCCCCCAGCTCTCTCTCTCGCTGCGGCAGCTCGGGGCTGGGGAAGAGGCGCCTCTTCCTGGCTGCAGCAGCTCTGGCAAGGCTCGGCCGGGCTGAGGGTGGGGCTTCTCTCCCCCAGCTGCAGTAAGTCCAGGGCAGGTCCATGCTGGGGCCCAAGGGGAGGGGCACCTCCAGGGGTGAAAGTGGGCTGGTACAGCTTACCGGTAAGAAGTGGTCACTGGGATGGGCCTGTACACAGCCGACGTTAAAGCGCTGCCACCGCAGCAGTGCTTTAACATCACTTCCTCTTTTGCCCCCCGGGCTGCCAAGAGGGGGGAGGCAAAAGGGGCAGCTGCCCCGGCACTTAAATTTAAAAGGGCCCAGGGTTCCCAGCCACCACTACTACCGCCGCAGCTGCTGGAGCCCTGGGTCCTTTAAATTGCCGCCGAACCGTCGGGCGGTGCAGGCTGGGCAGCGCTGAAGAGCTGGCTGGGGAAGACTGACACATCCCCACCCCACCCCACCTCACCTCACCTCTTCCACCCAAGGCCCCACCCCTTCCGGGGGCCCAGAGCCAGGCTTCCATACCGGTAAGATTTTTAAGTTACTTTCACCCCTGGGTGCCTCTCCGCACCGCTGCAGGTCCATGCTGGGACTGGCAGGGAAGGGTGACTGAGCCTCTCCCCACACCAGCAGGTCCGTGCTGGGGGAGAGACATCTCCCCCTGCCATGGCCCTGAGCCCCTGCACGAGGCTCAAATCAGCAGCTTCGTGGCCGCGCAGCTTAGAAGGAACTTAGCTCAGCACACCACCATGCACACTCACAGCCAGCTCCTGTACCTTAGTTGCTGTGGCAATTTCCAAAGCAGCACTTAATCTTTGAACTTCTTCCTGTGCCTTTTCTACATCCTCTTTTGCCTCACTTAGCTGTTGGCGCAACTTCATTGCCTCTAGCTGCACAACCTTCAGTTCCTGCAAGTGTTCCTCCTGCATTGCATTCATACGCTGTTCCAGATGCGCTGCCAGACAGCAAGAGAGGATCAAAAATGGTCATTATAAAGAAATGCAGAAAAAATTGCATCTGAAGGGCTGAAAGAGAATGAGAACATCTGCTACCAACACAAAAACCAGCTTTCTACTGTCTGTACCTGCATGCTTGGGATTCAGCTCCTTTTCAGTCTGCAGCCGGAAGAGGTTTAGCTTCAAGGTCTGCACAACACTCTCCAACCGGCACATTCGATTCACGAGCGATTCACAGTTCTTCCACAGCATGTCACTTTCACCTGCAAAGGCTACCCTGGCCCGAACCGGGCTAACAGGCTGGGGGCTCCCAGGTGTCTCTAAGGGCTTGGAATGGAAGAGATCAAGGCTGAAAGAAGAGAACATGTGGCACCATTTATATCTTTTTTTTTTTTGGTAATCTTGCTGCAGCCATCAGGCATAGCAAGAAACTTTCCAGCGGCATGAAACATGTGCCTCTGCTAGCAACTTCTGCTCCCCAGAGACGCCGAGATACCAGCTCACTCGGAAACAAACGTGGAACAAGCAGAGAAAAAGGGACTACCAACAAATATGGCGCATTCCCCAGGAAAAGACGGACCCGGACAATCCGTCCCAACCGTACCTCTGTCCGTTCACACCCAGCATCTCTAGGTCTCTCGCCAGCGCGCTGGTCTGCTCCTCAACGACGCTCATCCTCTGGCGGAGCACGGCGAAGGCTTCGGGCGCTGTGGCCCTGACGCTCATGGGGGCGATGGGCGGCCTGGCCATCGCTGCCCCGCGTCCAGCGGCTACCTGGGGGCGAAGTGGCCGTGTCGCAGGGTGAATGAAGAGCTCGACCAGCCGGGCGCCCGGCTTCGGCCACTCCCAGGCCTACTGGCTGCCACCCTGCCGCCCCCAGGCCCAGGCCCAGGCCCAGCCCTTCCCCCCGCGGGAGCTCGCTCTAGCTCCCCCCGGGCCAGCCTTACCCCGCTCGCTGACACTTCGCGGCCCCGTTTCCATGGAGCTCCTCCCCCGCTTCAAACCGACCCGCGGCTTTAGCGGACCCCATTCTACGCACGCGCCGCGACCCTAACTCCCGCTGCGCTCTGGGATTTGTAGTCCTTCGCGCTCCACCCAGACAGGGAGCTAAACAGTGTCGGCCTGCCGGGGAGGCACCTGGGATTTTTTTTGCCGGAGGCGCACGCGCAATGAACCTCACCAGGGTGGAGCGGGTCATGCCGGGATATGTAGTTTCGGTCTCTCTCTATTCCAGCATAGAACAACGTGGGCCAGCCTGGTCTAGTGGTGAGAGGTGAGGGTTGGCAGTGCACTATGGGTTCTCGTTCTGTATGGCCTTCAAGGTGACCTGATGCTTTAGTTTCCAGGTATTGTGAGTAATCCGATTGTCACAAAATTTGAGTTTTTTTGTTTTAAGCTCCAGCTCTTAGAGTGATAAGAGTACACAAGAATTTCAGCTTTCATTTTTTTTTTAAGTCTGTTTCTAGCCCTTTTGGGTGTAGAGAAAAAAAAACCTTGAAAATGTGGTTCCTAAAGATTCAAAACCCAGAAGGGAAATAAAAAGAAAACAAAACATATCATGGATTTTTTTCCCCAATATCGCATGGGGTTTGGGGAGGGCCAAACCTCACAGTTTTTGAATGCTGGGATCTGCAAAATTGGTATCATCTTTTTTGTCCCACCTCATAATGTATCTCAGTTGCCCTCCTCATTCTGAGGGATGTCACTCATTTGGTCCCAAAGTTATCTGTCTTTCACAACAAAAAGGGGGGAGACACCTTATAATGCTTATGAATGTGAATATGATGTAATTGGAATATGCCTTATGCAAAAGGTCCCTTGTAAGGTATCATTACAAAGGTTATAACCTACTGAATATATTCATCCTATTTGTATGAATGTTTCATTCTTGTATCTGAAACTAAAATATGAAGTATAACTCTGAGGTCCTATTGTAATTATGCAAAGGTTAATGGTAGTTTAGAATCTTGATGGCTCCCATTGACTACAGTTGGTTGTAAATGGTTTATTAACCTGCATGCCTTCCTGTGTCCCTGTGGGCCAGCCCATGGATAATGAAGAATGAGATCTTACAGTGGCACGTGATCGTGTCACATGATACTGAAATCCATCTTAAATCTGGTACTTTTCCATTTAGAAGTAGGGGTGGGGACCCAGAGAGACAAAAGATTCCCGCCTTGTGCCAAAGCTATAAAAGGGGGTGGAACAGGACAAAGGGCTGCCAGTCATGAGAGAGCCCCTGTTTTTCATCTCAGATGTCTGCTGAAACTAACAAGGACTGTACCAGGGGAAAGGATTGGGACCAGACTAGGAAGGAATCTAGTCTGTGAAAGAAGCTTTCTGGAACATCTCTGAGGGTGAAATGTTATCTGTAATCAGTTTCTTAATATATTAGGCTTAGACTTGTGTGTTTTTGCTAACCCCTGCATAAAATATGGTCTGTGAACACACCCTATCAATGTAGAAGCTGGTTGAAGTAAGAACTAATTATTTGCAGATTTTTACTGATGATATCTCATACAGTTTCTATTAAGCTATTCAGAAGACTACACTACAAGAAATAGTTTGGTGTTTTGTATAAATGTTTAGTATAAGCATTTAGGTCAATTTATATGCAGATTTATGTATCTCCTTCAGGTCCCAGGCAAATTATTATCATGGGCCAAGATAGTACGAGTTTGGGTACTATGAGGCACCTGGTCTTCAACGTCCTTATTTGTAAAATAGATACAATCTTAGCTCCTACAAAAAGGTGTTATGAATTTTGAGATCTTTGGATTACATGCATTTATAGAAGTGTAAAGTGCTATTATTTTATTAATTGAATCTTATCTCTAGAAGGCAGCAGACAGCAGAAAAAACAGCAATAGTCCTAATGAGATGGCTATGCATCTTATAATATCTTGGCATAACTGCAAATGGTGGTTATACACTAATATTGAAAAGAATAATAAAAAAAATTAAATCAAATACTACAGAAATCATAAGTACAGAAATAAGAGTTGCAAATTCCACATTCAAAACAGTGAATGTGATTTAAGTACTCTATTTGCAACTCTTATTTCTGTACTTATGATTTCTTTTCACCTGTGGATGGTTCCTGATAAATTTTTAATGGTAATTATTGGAGAGACTAATTCTGCAAATGACTTGCTACTTTTCTGTCATAATACAAAAGAAGGCTTAAGTAGGATAATTAGTAATTGTTCTAGTGTTTCTGTTAATGATTTCAATTTAAGATTTCATAAATGATACGATCTTTACCACTACCTTCCACTGTGATTGTGCTCTTACCCTTCGGAAGCAATATGAAAAGAAACCAGATAGATGAATCTTAACATGAAAATTTACTAGAAGGCTTTTGCTAATTTAATGCTTCTGGGCTAGATTCACAAAGGGATTTAGACATTTTGACGCAGACATTTGACAACACCTAACTTTTAGGTGCCTAAAAAAATCACAGGAACAACACTACAGTTCACAAAGCCTGTGTGAGTTGCCTAGGATCCTGACACAATGAATGGGGAGAGATAGGTGCCTGAGAATGCGATCAACAAAAGCCAGCACCCCTAGGTAAGAAGCCACCTAAGCTAACCAAAGGGTGATGCTGAAAACAGGGGTATGACCTAATCTCTCCTCTGCTCATGGAGATAGGTGCCTCCTTGCAGCCTGGAGTTAAGTGCCTGTCTCTCCTAATGATTCATGTCTGGGAACCCCTCTCCAGGAGGCATGTGGCTCATTCTTGTGAGAATGAGCTAGGCAGGGATGGAACTACCCACAAAACAGCCAGAGGAGGAGGAGGAGAAGGTAGTAGCAGTGCCACCCACTTTATAAGTTTTAGTTCTGTGGTTAGAGCACTCATCGGGTGACTGAGGATCTAGTCTCCCCTGCTCTACTGACTCTTTAGTTATTTATTCAAAATGGAACAGCTTTAAGAGGAGAGACTGCGGGAGCCCCACATCAGAATATCCCATAGCTCAGTGATTAGGGCACTCTCTTGAGGGATGGGAGACCCATGTTTAAATCCTTTCTCTTCCTCTGGCAGAGGGAGGAATTGAACCCAGGTCTCCCACAGTCCATGTGACTGCTTTAACCACTGAAAGCCTGAGCTAAAAGTTGTAAGGTGGGCACCCCACCTTCTCTTCCTCTCTCCCTGATTTTTTGAATGGGACCCAATCTGGTACACAGCCTTGAAGTACACTTAGGGGTTTCTTTAACTCTCTACTCTTCAGGCAATTTTTGTGTATGTCTGTATTGTTACACACATACTTGCTGACAGGTATTTTGAAATAAATTACCAAAATAATTGAAACTGGCATGATTATATAGTGTTATTTTGACAAATAAAATTTGCAGAATTTTAAAAAGTGTGCAGAATTTTTAATTTTTTTTGTTGCAAAATTCCCCTTATACAGAAGAACAGCATATACCTGAGGTGTACATATAAAAAGAGCAACTGATATGTAGATCCTTTCATAAGTTGCTGTATGGGGACAATATTTGACAAAAGATATCTCAGCCTGAAGGCACAGTATTAATTTTATAATAAACAGATCAAACAGATTTCCAATTTAGTTTGCATTAAAAGAAATGATTGAGCTGAACTTGTTGTTCATATTATTGATCTTCCTTTCAAAAACTGCTGTGCCAGAGTTACATCAAATCAAAACTGCAGGAGTAAAAAGCATAAATCAACCTGTCTGTGGTGTTATCTATGTTAAACTTCTCAAAAGAAGAATCTGATCAAAGCACTTAACTGTGAGGACTGAGATGAAGCAGTCTGATGTACTTTGCAGCCTCAGATATCCTTGCACAATGGAGTTTCTCTTCAGACTTTAAAAGAGCCTGAAACTGTGATTATTTATTTAAAATTGCTCTTCTGCACAGATGATGCAGGAGACAACGCCCTGTGATGTGTGGAAGCATAGTAGTCAATTTTGTGTTAGGCCAGAGTTTTGTATTAGATAGGCTAACCTTATTGGTAATAACGCAAGATTTGTAGAAGCGGGGCTTGTGCTAGGCGCTGGGAAAATTGTCTGAGATGTTTTTTGACCTTGCTTTGATTAAAATTGGAATGTAGACTGTAGCAGAATTGATTGAGAAAAATAAGATAGTAGGTAGGAATATGTATAAACAAACTGCAGCTGTGATCATTATTGTTTGTCGCAAAAAGGTATAAAGGCTTGCCTCAATTGTTTATCTTTGGAGTCCTACCTGGAGTAAGGGAGATCCCTGCTCGTGTGTGTAGTTCCCCTCATTGCAATTGCTTGAGAATAAACTGTCTCTGATCTGTTACAACCACGCTGAGAACGAAAACTCTGTTTTCTTCGACAGTAATAAAGGGTTGTTTTCTTTAACTTGTGTTCTCAACATCAGTCTCCACTTGTGTGCAAAGCCTATACAGTATCTACCTGTGCATCTGATAATCATATATATTCCTCTTAATCTATCCTGCATATATAAAATCGTGTTTTCTCTTAATATTTTTGTTGCTCTTCTCTAAATTCCCTCCAATTGGTCTACTCTTTTCTATTATTTAAATGCCTAGAGCTGAACTCTGTATTCAAGGTGGAGTCTTGCCAGCACCCTAGAACTATTGTCTTTGGGTGGGCTGAGAGGAAGAGAACCCTAATTATTTGCCTGTTTAACCCCCTTTTGATAAACAATCTTTGTTATAAAGTCACTCAGTTCTAATGGCAAGTGGCATTCTGCTCACTTGGGAGGTAGGAAAGAATGATGTGGGTTTTTTTGTTGTTTTTTTTTAAGCTGGTAGATGGAAATAAAATCTGCCAAACTGAATCAGTTTGTCCATCTAGTCTCACATGCTGCAATGGCTAATAACTGATACTTTAGGAGAGAGTGATGCATGTTGTCAGTTATGAAATATTATAAAATCACTTTCCTAGCTTGTCTCTGACCATGTCACCCCCTCTTTCTATCCTCCTACTGGCTTCTCCCTTCTCTATTACATCAAACATAAGCTGCTTGTCTTCACTTTAGTGGTTTTTCAAACTGCGGGTCATGACACAGTACATCCAGTGCAGAATGTAAAGCACTGGATCATGGTGGCTCTGG